TAGGCGAATTCGTCTTATTACTAGGTTATTATTTAAGTACTAGCGTAGCTCTTCTAATTCTCTTTATAATAAAGAATATATTATCCTATATAGTAGTTAACTGCTAGGTAAAAGATTAATTGCATAGTTAGTAGCCTTATATAGCGGTAAGACCTTAGCGTTGAATAAATTTAGCATGTTATTATACTTGCACGCTAAATGCGTAGGCAGTGCGCCTATGCCTCTTAAATAACCTTTTACTTCTAGGTTGCCTAGTAAGATTATATATACTTATGCGCGCTCTTTACGCGCTATAGCAAGGAAGATTTCTTATAGTATAAGTTGCATAGTCTTTATGCGTGCTTTAAACTACTAGCGGCGGTCTGCTAGCTTTAGGTAAACTTTCTTACTTTAAAGGGTTATTATTAATAGTAATATTATTAGGCCTTAATACTTAGCAAGTTTAGTAACTTTTATACAAACCTATATAATCTTATAGGTATACTTATAAAAGTCTCTTATATATAAGGGTACTTTTTACGCTCTTACTACGCTTATAATGCTTTTATTATACGCTTTAAGGGTTAGTACTAATATCTTTATAGATTCTAGTCCTTATAGTCTTATAAATTCGTAGTTAATAGTATTAAGACTTATATAAGTATTCTATATAGCAAATACTTCTATAGTTATTAGTCTAAGAAGAGAAGCTTAGATAAGAAAAGGATTACTAATCTTAATTATCTCTAGTAACGCTTAAGAGTTTTAGTTTATTCTAGGCGTTTCTAGTTTTTTGCCTTCTTAGTATTCTTTTTAGTTAGTTAAACTAAATTTATTAATATAGTCTTTTACCTTTTTAAGTAGTTCTAGGCAAAGTAGCCTTTGCTTTTATAAATAAAGCACTTTATACACTTACTATTTATATAAGTAGGTTTTTTTTAGTAGCTCTTAATAGCTATAGCAGCTAATCTACCTTTTTCTTTGCCTTAGCCTTTACCTTTAGCACTACTATAGTAGTTGCTATAATTGTTTTCTTAATTAATATTATTTTTATAGCCGCTCTTATAGCCTTTTTAACTCTCTTACGCTCTTTTACTACGCGTACTATTATTGTCTTATTTTAACTAAGCCTTTAGCTTTTTTAAACTTTAAAACGTTATTACTCTAGCTACTAGTTTTACTTTAGTCTATAGTATCTTATTTAATTTTAAAAGATCTTTCTTTAATTCTAAGAGTAGCTTAAAGAATAGCAACTACGCTTATTCCTTTTTTTATTTAATAAGTAGTTAGTTTTTAAAGAAGGTAAGGTAGTTATTAAAGTCTTAAAAGGTTTACCTTAATCTTTAGTAAGCCTTGCTAATTTTATTAATAATAATAAAAGCTATGTTATAAAGATTAGCTATAAAGGTTAAGGTCTAAGCTTTAAATGCATCTTAGTTGCTTTAAGCCTTTACTACTACTACGTCTATTATACTTTATAAGCGCGTTTCCTATATAGTATAGCATAACTACTCTATATATTTAAGCATATAATTAATCTAGTAACTAGCGCTTCTAAACTTATTAAAGGCTAGATAAAAGTATTACTTCCTAGCCTATAGCTAGGTAGCGCGCTCTTAAAAGCTGCTAGGTGTCTTAAAGAGCGGTTTAATGCCGCTTTTTAAGATAATATCTTAACTGCAAGAGCTGTCTTTATTAAAGTCCTTGCTGCGAGTACGCTTACCCTTCGCTTAGGTTGCTCTTATATCTAAGAGCTATTACTATAGGTCTACTATTTGCTGCTTTAAGCGCTCTGCTTTACGCAGTTGATTATTTTTAGCAATAAGGTCCGCTACTATCTAGTCTATAGTAGGCCTAATAGTCTGCCCTAAGGGGCCTTTACCCGCATTGTTGTTATCTAGTTGCTTATAATCCTCTTCTAAGAGATTAGAGTCTTCGTTCTTTACTTCTTCGACAATAGGGTTAAGGGGGTTCTCGACTATTGCCCTAGAGCTGCTCTCTTCCTACGCACTACGTGCGTGCAACGTTTTCTTCGTGGTCTTTCGAGGTGCCATTGCTCCTTCTGCCTCCTAACTCGGGTAGCCTAATAGTAAAAGAATTAGGAATTGTTAAAGGTGTACTTAGGTAGGCCAGGTAAGTCAGGCAGGCAAGGAGGTATCTTCTTAACAGGAGGGAGCAGCCGTATATTCAATAGCTAATTCTTGCCTTCTACACTCTAAGGGAGTGCGGGAGGCGCTCTTTATCGTAGGCGCACCTCTGGCGCACCAAGTGCGCAGGACAGGCGCGACCCCGTTTCTACTTGGCCCGTGCGCTAGCACGTGCTGTGGCCTGTGCGCAGACTGCGCCACGCAGCCTGCGCCACCAGCACCGCTTCTAGTTCACGATGTGCATCTAATACGCTGTGCGCATACTGCGTACGGCTTGCGCGTAGCCTGCGTCGGTCCCCTTCCTGGGGCGGCGTTATAATATTAAAAGTAATTCTTTATTGTTTTTAATCTAGTTATGTATAAAACTAAGCTAATCCTTTACATTTGCTATAGTAAAAGGTATTCTTTTTTAAAGCTTTCTATTTTTATATATTTTATTTATGAAAAGCGCGCTGTATAGTAGAAGTAAACAGCTAAGCAAACACTCTTTTTACTAGCTTATTATATATAATTTAGGGCTCTCGTTTTGTTTGTTAAATAAGGTATCGTGTATTTAAATAGCTAAGAATCCTTAGCCTACCGCGGCCAGACCTATTAGCAAAGCCATGTATAGCTGTAAAGCGATTATTCGTAGTATAGATAGTAGCAGAACTAACGCTAAATGCGCATGCAACGGCTAACTGCGACGCACCGCCGGCTACAGCACTAAAGGCGACTGCGCGTGCTACCAGACTTAACTAGCCTTTAGCCGTCCTATTGGCCGTCAAAATGCTACCAGTTTCGTTTAGATTGAGCATCTTTTCGTCGATTTATGGCCTTTTTAAGAATGGGTGTAGGTTTTTAATTAATGGAGGACGCGAAAATGCGCGATCACTTTTTCGATATTTTTGGGACCCCACTGTATGTTTATCTTTTGAGTGCAGCTGATTACAGCACAAATGGGAACACTGCGCCGCGATTGCCGTGGCGACGTCGTACTCCACATTTTCACTGGTTTGACTGATAAAAAGCCTGCTAAAGCCGTATTGTCCTTCCATGTCCAAAAATAATATATTGTTATACTCCGTACTCAGTGAGTAATTTATCTATTAGAATGAGCTGAGCTGAGCGATTGTCCGACTAATTTACGAAGCCCAAGCTAGGTTGCCGGGTGGACTAGTAATTATTTCCGGCCTTGAGAGGTGGACTGCCACGAGGCCAGGTTTGCTCCTTGTGCGCAGGACTTCCGGCACAGCCTCAGGTGTTGAGTGTTGCCATAACGCCCGCGACAGGTGCTGACAAAGTACCTCAACCCACTTGGTAAACAGTCTAGTGGAACTGTACTCCGTACTTCGTGGGAGTACAGAGTATGTACGGAGTATATACACGGCCCTGCAAGTCGCGTCGTCAGAAAGCCACGGAAAATACTCCGTATATCGTAGTCGGCCGTGCGCAGTACATAAGTGCGACATCAGATCAGAGATGCCTGGCGAATAAAGAGGAGTGAGCCCCGCGATGTCGTATTCGTACCTGTTTTTGGAGCCCATTGCCATGCTGTTCTTGGTTATCCATACCCCGGTCCAATGCCCTACACAGTGTCGCGGGCTCCACAGACAGTGCCGAAAACCGCCTGGACCCTGGGAAGCGTCCAGGCGTCATTCCCGTGTGCGTGCGCACCTTCCCGGGCCACTCTTTCCCTCATTGACCTTCGGATTTTGGGGCCGTATTTCTTCAACAACGCGACGAAACCACCAAACAAACCCTTCATTTCCCATTCAACTTGTTCTCCTCCCTCGACACCGCCCACGATCTCCCACGGCGCTTTCGAAATTGTGTACCAGTACCGCATTCTGCAATTTATCTCCGGTTCATACCGGATTCCTTTCATTTTCTCCGCCAAGGCTGGCACTTTTGTGAGTAATTATCTCGGCTTCTCCCCTCTTGCCCGTCTCCCTATCGTCCGCCTCTTCGCCTTCAGATTGCCAGTACCACCCCAGCGCACTGAGATGATGCAATGTGTGGTGCTCTATGCGCGTATCCGGGGAACGGTCTTACCCTTTACTCCGCATCTCGCGACCATTGCCTCGAACGTGCGCCCGAGTCAATTTATCCGCGTCCATCTCCCCCCCGCCAGAAGCCAAACCTGAGACACAACATTACACCCCGACAGACGCATCTTCAATATAACTCTGCGTGTCACTGCTTCGTCACCGACTGGCACACAGCCCGCCTCCTTCGATATACTCGCCCCTCAGTAATCGACTTATCTGTTGCCGGCCCACACCAATCATTGCGTCCTTCCCCTCCTTTTGATCGAGCTCGTCTGATGGCGGAAAAACGGCAGTCAACTGGAGTACAATTCGGCACAAATGATCGGTGTCGCTCTCCTGGTACCATTCTATCGGTCTCATAAATGAGCGGATTTTTGTTGCAATACAAGCCGCAGAGCAAAATCACCACAAATTTATAACTGACCTGAACTCCTACACATTCTCACGCTGACGTCTACCTGTTTTGCACTCCAGACTCTCAAGATACCCCTGTTCCATTCAATCGGACTCTGTCCGCATTTATTCAGCATCCAAAAACCGATACAGCTGGGCCACGCCACTTCAGCGTCAGCTGTCGTACGTCGTTTTTTCTTCCTAACTCTTGTCGAAGCGAATAGACGAGTATACAACACTGGACCTCAACTGCAACACAAAATCACAATACAAGTTTTCTGCTGACTGTAAAGAATTTGCTTGCTGTCCCCATCGAGCCTGGGCAGAACTTTCTCGAATGTGGGAAAGCTGAGGCGACGACCTTTATCCCTTTGCAACCCGTGCCCTCTGCCAGCGCTCTGTGTCTCTTGACCGGCGCGTGGTGTTGAGGATCCATAAGCACCCCTCCAAAATGTTCTGGAAATTTGGCGGCTACGCCAGCATATCGCCCATTGACTCTATTCTTGATCGACCGCAGTTTGCTCTTGAAGATCTGTTGGACGAGAATGATTTGCTGGGCGACATCAAAGCCCGCAATGGCAAACTTCTCGATTATCTCCGGAAGCGCGAGGTTTTAGAGCGTCTTCTAGAGTTCGTTGTCGCTCCTAAGGCTGAGCCTGCTGCCGTGCCTATTGGCGATGATACGAAGGACGACTCCGCTGGCGCTAGCGACGATGCAAGCAATGAACGAGGGCGGCCCCGTCTTTTACCGTTTAACCGTCCACGGGCATCCTCCTCACTGACTGATGGCGGCCGAGATGATGATGAGGCTGAAACGAAACGTAACCGGTATGCGTATGTCTCTTGCGAGATTCTGTCTTGCGATAACTGGTCCATATGTGAGACTGTGATGGATCCCTCAAACCGCGACCTGCTGCACAAGTTTTGGCAGTATATCAAGCAGCCGGCTTTGCTTGATCCACTACAAGCTAGTTATTTTACCAAGGTCAACGAGTCCCTTTTCGACAAGAAGGTTGACGATATGGTGGTATTTTTAAAGTCTATGGATGGCGCAGTGCAGGATATGTTGCGACACGTCGACTGCCCCATGATCATGGACCTACTACTGAAGATCATAACTCTGGATCGTCCGGAAGGAAGCCCTGGCATTGTTGAGGTACGTAGAAGTGTCATTATCGAACAGTTTGCGCCTGAGAAGTGTGACAAATACTGATCTACATCTATTTAGTGGCTTTATACGCAAGACGTGATGCCAACTCTTCTCTCCTTTCTTAGTCCTAAGAACAGCTGGGCAACACAAACATCAGCTGGAGACTTCATCAAAGCCATCATCACGGTCTCTGCCAACGCCACTCAGAACGAGCAGACATGCATCGGGCCAAACGAGCTCACCCGGCAGCTAGTTTCCCACCCATGCATTGACGAACTAATCAATTATATGCTCGGTGGCGGCAATGCATTGACCGTCGGCGTGGGAATTATCATCGAGGTCATCCGAAAAAACAACTCTGACTATGATCCGGATGTTGGCACCGAAGCCAACTCGATTCCCTCAAGCCGAGACCCCATTTATCTCGGCACCTTGCTACGGATGTTTGCGGAGAATGTACCAAACTTTATGCAGTTGATGAACAATGCGCCTGCCCAGAAGACTCGCCTCAACTCTACCTTCAATGTCAAGATTGAACCGCTTGGTTTTGACCGATTCAAGACCTGCGAACTGATGGCCGAACTTCTCCATTGCAGCAACATGGGCTTGTTGAACGAGTTTGGCTCCGAGACTGTCATTGCTGTTCGCGATGCCGAGCGCAAGCGTCTGCGGAGTGAAGGCAAATTAGCTCCAAATCGGGGCGAGGATGCGATTGCGCCAGGCACCGATCTTCTTACCATGCGTGTGCCCCATGCACCCGCTGCCGAAGAGGGGCGTCGCCTCGAAATAATGAATGTGTCAGCCTCTGACGAGGACGGGTTCGAAGAAGTCACACATACCGCCGACATGGGCGAGAACGAGAAACAGCAATACAACGTTCTCCCCTTAACAGGTCCTAGGCCATCGACTTCATCTCTCTTTGAGAAAGATGACGATGATTTTGTCGATGAGCCTCTCAGTTCCCCCCGATTGAACACACGGGACGACAAATTGCCAGAGCTTGAATTGCCGCACTTTGATGAGCCAGACCTTGTTGTAGCACCTCTCTCGCCCACCAAGAAGAAGGTCTTATCCCAGTTCAGCGACCCAGAGGTGTCAAAAGATTCAGAGTCTTCATCCACTCCGTCGACAGTGGACAATGAAAGCATCGACGACGCAACTGTCAGCTCCGATGATTTTGTTACGGAAGCGACAGAGCCAGCATTGGGCAAAGGCGCAAAAACAATGTCCGATGCAGACAAGGGCGATGAATCCGACGCGGGCATCGTTTTCACTCCTACAATCTCCAGTTTGTCTGAATCTTTTCACTCGACAGCACAGCGTTCGTCCAGTCCAATATCAGAACTGCGTGAGCAGCTTGCCAAGACCATAATTTCTGAGGAGGGTATTGTCCTAGAACAGGCAGAAGAGGTTGTCGCGAAAGAGACTTTGCAAGAAGACAACCAAGCCCCGACTGCGCCCTTGAACGAGCTTATGCCGTATTCCACAGAACCCGCGCATGAAGCCAGCAAAAATGCCGGCGAGAGTAAAGCAAATGCAGTGTCTACTACCGACGCGACAGAGAAAAGGGCAGCCGAAGAAAACGAACGCGACGCCGGAAATGAATCTATTGTTGTGGCTCCTCGACCAGTCGAAGCAAGCTCAAAACTCTCGACCGTGAATGCCACTGCGGACGAGCCAGTAGTAGGCGACCTGCTGAAGATTCAGTTTGTTGAGCACCGTGTGGTTCCTACCATACTTGTGAGCTATCTTCTCCCTCCATATAGATCCGTGGCTTCCTTCGTTTTCATTGTGCGTGACTAACATCACAAGTCTTTCTTTTTCTCGTATCCCTGGAACAACTTTCTTCACAATGTCGTGTATGACGTGGTCCAGCAAGTTTTCAATGGCCCGATGGATCGCGGGTTCAACCCGAATCTGGCAATTTCTCTTTTTGAGTCTGCAGACGTGACCACCCAAATAATAAACGGGCAGCTTGCGTCTGAGAAGTCCCAGGTCTCCACAAGAACCCGCATGGGTTACATGGGCCACCTAACACTGATCGCGGAGGAAGTCGTCAAATTCACGGAACGTCACCCCCCGGAGCTTCTCTCTGAGGTAGTGTTGGAAAAGGTCATGTCTCAAGATTGGATCAATTATGTCGAGGGCCCGCTAGCGGAGACACGCGAGAGGGACAATGCAATCCTCGGTGGTGTTCGTCCAGATGTGTCTATGGGCAACCAAGCGGGTACTGCCGGATTGGCTGCCGTCGGTCTTAGCGGGTTGGGCTCGTCGTTTGGGATGGGCAATACCCAAAACACGTCATCAGCATTGGCTGACGCTGGGCTGAACGGAAGCCTCGATTTCCAGGGCGAGGCTGACGGAGGCCTCGGACCTTTTTCGATCAGCGCTGGAATATCGTCCGGTTTCCATAGCTCGAGTGATGAAGACGAAGATGACAACGACGACAATGATGAGGACATCAATGACGAGGTTAGTTGTTCCCTTCCCGGTCCATTTTTATATCACTTTGCGGGGGCGCACAAAACAGAGGATGCGACAACACAGGCCAACCGGCGTTCTGCGGTTATTGAAAACAGCACTGGCAATTTCGTGCACACTGGTGACGACTGCAAAGATGACGAGGAAGGCCAAGTCAACATTGATGTCGACATTATATTTGGCGGAGCTTATGGTAGTGACGGAGACGTCAGTTAATTTGCGAAAGCAGAACTGAAGGGCGTATCGGTACAGAAATCTATGAGACCAGTGGTCTCTGGACCAAGTGGGCGTTGCACATGCCGGCTTTAGCGCATTGAAGCCTGCTTTCAGCAGTTCCGATGATAGCTTTGAAGACGTTATCGCAGACAAGGACTACGATGCGCTTCAAGTGTGTTGTGGTCATGCAGCCCCTAGCAGCAGCATCAGTAAGCTCGAAGTGGCACACATTGCTCAAAGGTTGAAAACAGTGTTGTCTATTGTTTTCGCCGACAGCACGGAGTGTGAACGAGGACTGTGAAATAACTTGACTTTTACCTGTTAATGTTGATGCGGATCTGTGCCAAAGGCATTGAGCAGAACATTTCAGCGATAAACAAAGGTGTCAGTTTTCGGTACTATCCTGTCTAGGTCAATCGGTCATCTGGGCCCATGGATTTGGCTTAATTAAGCAACCGGCATGTGTTCTTTGCCTGAAAGACGCTTGAACGAAATGAGAAATCGAAGTCGATTCTGGGGTGCAGCTTCGTATCAACCATACAGCTGTACCTCTCTCTTCAAGGATTACTGCATATTGGAGAGCGTCATGGGTCACACCATGACTACAATATTATGGGTTGATTTTCGCCTGACGGCACTTAAGGCCATTCGACAATCGCATGTCTGCTCTTCGCTGCCACCTTACCAATTGCTTCTTCCATTTAATGTTGTCGACGCTCCTGCCTCTTGAGGGACCTCTGTTTTTTCGCGCTCCCCTCTAAAGCATAACTGGGGAGATAGTGTGTTAAGCTTGCTAACGCTGAACAGTTCCGAGCCTATACTGACTCACTGAATGCATCGTCCTCTCTGATACCCCCGGCCATTCCGCCACCGCCACCTCCGCCACCTCCATTGAACATCCCGCCTTCAAGAGCACGCCTGCAACTAGCCGCGCGGCTGGCCATGAGCAAGCGGAACGCCGAGGCAGCAGCAGCTCAGGACGGACACGAAGGATGTGAAGATGATGATAATGGCGGGGACTCTGGCTTTGGCCGGTCCGGTTCCCAATTACTTACGGGGACTGCTCTTTCTGGCTCGTCGGGCGAGAGACTGCGAAACCCTTTTGCCGACGACGAAGATGACGAAGACGACGAAGACGACGACGAAGACGACGAAGACGACGAAGAAGATGACGATGCGGATACGGCCTTGAACGGTGGTCGTGGCGGTGGCCGGACGGGGCTTGGCTGGAATCGCGGCAGTTGGTGGCGGTCCATGGTACGGGGCGATCGAAATGCAGCTAGCAGTGGTGTGAACAAGAGCGAAAAATTTGGCGACGGTCGTGACAGCAGCTCCGACGAAGACAGCGACCACATTGGTCCCAACGAAGCCAGGAGCAATGTTGGCAGAAACAATGACGACGACGACGACGAAGAGTTTGGCGACTTTGCTATGGCTGAGGTGTCGGCGAAAGATGATATCGGTGGCAGAGAAAAGGTCGAAGGCAGCGGTAATAGCGAGAACAAGGGCAGCCAGAGCGATGCCGCTGGCAGCAGCTCCGGAAATGGCGCCACATCCGGCGGTCTTTATTTGGATAGCGACCCCGACACAGTGCTATTCAAACCTCTAGCCGTACACCCGCCCTCCTCAAATAATACGACAGAAAGCAGCAGTGGTGGAAGTGGCGGAACAACCGTGAGTGGTCTGTGGCCATTTGAACGGCTCCGCTTCTTGACGAACACAGATGCTGAGAAAGACGAACAGGAGAGCGGCAATGGCAATACCAATGCCAATGGCAGTAGTGTCAATGGCTATACCGATGCCGATGCCAAGGGCAAGGATGCATCTTCGGCTGATTATGGAGATGGAATGGAGGTTTTGAGTGAGGACGGGCACAAAGTCAGCTGCGTGACGGAAGCGGCAAGAAGGACAAGCCTGGAGGGCCCAGATGAGGATGAGGTGGTTGTGTAGGTTTTCCGGTCGGTTTTTTTTTCGGAGCGTCTTGGGGAACAGGGTTCTGGGCTACTTTGACCTGCAGCTCTTGTACCTCTTCGGTCCACCTCTTATCTGGGGGGCAATGGCTTCTTTCCCTTATTGTCTTGACATCTTTTTCTTTTTTCAGATTTGCGAAGTAACTTCTATGAACTTTTCTTCATGTAAGATTATGCTTGTTTTGGCGTCCCTCTTCCGGGGTCTGCCCGCATTAATACATACGAATGCACATCTCTCGAGGACTACTCCGTATAGACTGAAACTTTCTCCCCAGTCGGCACAAGATCCGCTAGATCTTTTCCCACACGGTGCGCCTTCTTATGATTAGGCTGTCCTAGGGTTGTAGATGTATCTTACTTACAATGCAAAATTGTCTTAGCAACGAAGGTTCGGGGCTCGACAAAGACAAATAGCAGCAAGTGCCGCATTTACTGGCCATTGATGCGCAGTGGCACTGTGGCACAGCCGCGACGACAATTTTTCAATGTGAAGAGTGCGAGCAGGTTCATGACAGAAATGATCTCAACCATGGTCAATGCTGTAGGCGACATTCGGAGGTAGCGAGCGAGACTGGCCCGGCTGATAATCATGAAGCTGCTGACCGACGCGAGGCGGAAAGCAGTACCCATCATACCCAGACTTCCCATAGTATTTGATTCAATGACGGCAATACTTATTGGGCTACGAAAACTGGTCGCCGATGTATCCGGATTACGTTTCCGTTTATTGGCAAAACAAGAGGAATTATCAGCACGGCCCAGTCTCTCAAACAGCCACTCCTGCGAGTACGGAGTAAGGAGTATTGTATCTTATCTTACATACTCAAAGCGGGGAAATGTGGAGGGAAGCAATCGGGATTTCGGAATCTCACCCGAGTCAATACGAAAAATCGAATGGGCCTCTGTTCGACGGGCGGAATGCACTTCCACCACTGTTGTCGTCATATGTTATACCAGCGACATGGATGAATGCACCACTGATTCCCGGTCGGAAAAGCGACCGACCCCATCCGAAGACACTTCACGGGCGAAGCGGGGAAAATACACCTCGGCTGCATGGTAAGCCCACGAGCAAGAATACATACAGGCGATGGTAATGTAGCCTGGGCTAATGTGCCTCAACCCCGCTATAGTAATCTGTGCAAGAAAAGGAAGCTCAGATGTGTGCCGAGCCAAGACGGCGGCAGCTGTCAGCGGTGCGCCGGGGCCGAACTTCTGTGCGTATTTGACGCACCGTCTCGGCAGGCCGGGCGAGAAAAGACTGAGAACAGGTACGTATCTCGATCATGCCACCCGGCTATTGGGCTGTATCTCTGCTTTGCTAACAGAGTCTCACCACCTCCGCTAGCAACAACGACCAACTGAGACTTCTGCTGAGCGAGCTGGCGGGGCTGCGACGCCAGGTCGGTGATTTGGCAGGGGCAGTGCACGAATTGCAACAGAGCGTCTACAGCGGCAGCAATGACGTCGTCAAGAACGTGTCATCGCCATCTCATGGCAGGGCGTTTGCCGACTCGCCAAACACGCAAGCACCAGGGTTGCGCCGGAAGCCAAAGTTTATGGGGCCGACGAGGCCCGACTTCGACTTCCAGGTTGGCGAACGGGCCCTTCATCGCATGGGCATCCCCCTTGTCAGTAGCGATAGTGACGGAGAGGCGGTAGCACACAGTTGCAGCCAGTCACCGGTGCCCTCAACACCCACAGAGACAGCGACTGCAGCTGCAGCTGCAACGGCAGAGGCCAGCGCCGGTGGCAGCTTCCATCCCCATCTTCGCTGGACTACCGACGAGATTGTGCGGCTGCTCGGCGTGTACGACGAAGACGTAAACTCAGTGTTCCCATGCATCGACGTGGCCGACCTGGCTGCACAGCCGCAGGCAATCCGCGACGACGTCCTGCGCTGTCTGCGTCAGCAGGAGAGCGTTTTGCTGCCCGATACACGTGCATCTGCAGGCGCCGGCGATGCTGCCTTGGCCCGTGTTGTCATCGCCACGGCCGTCGTTCTCGAGGCCCGCGGCCGCAATACCGTCAGCGAGATGCTCGTGAGCCCCGTCGAGCGGAATGTGTCGTGCATCGCCAGCCCCGAACCAGACATGAAGGAAGTGCAGCTGCTGGCCGTTTTGGTATGACCGTCCACTTCTCTATATGGTCTGATTCTGTATCCTTGGCTGACCTTGCGCAGAGCATATACTACTTCCACATTGACCAGGACCTTCTCGCATGGAGAGCCATCAGCGTAGCTGCCCACGAAATGCTGGAGATGGGTCTGCACAGGAAGCAGAGCCTACTGGAAAACTATAAGTCGTCCAACGCCCGCCAGCTGGCTACACGTGTCTTCTGGTGCGTCTACGTACTCGACCGCCGCTGGAGCATTGGCATCAGTTTGCCCTTCGCGCTCCGCGATCGCGACCTCGATCCAGAGCTTCCAGAGCCGGTACGTTAGTTCACTGCTTACTAATACAGTATGTGCATGCTTACATCCCCCTCTGCCTCTGCAGGGCCTCGACTTGCCATACCTTCAATCCATGGTAGGCTACGGCCGGCTATGCTCGCAGCTGTGGGATGCCATTCCGGTGCTGCATAGTACTGGCGGCGCTGGAGGTTTAGGCCCGCGGCAGCTGCTGCAGGATGACCAGGTGGCCTTGTTGGACCTGCGCGTGCAGGAGTGGCTGGCCCAAATTCCAGCGGAGCTGCAACTGCGGCATCCGCGGCTAGGCCTGGCGCCACGTGTCCAGCCACACGTGCTTCATCGCCTGCGTACGCTGCTATACCTCAGGGCAAACAGCCTTCGCATCCTGCTGCATCGCCACCGTCTGCGCAGCCCAACGGCCATTGAGGCTGATCCGCATGGCGCCTGGCTGGTCGTCGACATCGCCATGGACAGTATCCAGGTGCTGTTTCACCTGAATGAGACGACTGACATCTATGCTCGGCAGCAGCGCGCTTTCAATTACTTCTTGCTTAGTGCTCTGGCCGTTCTCTTTCTGGCCGTGTGTCACGCGCCGCGCATCTTCACAGAGCCCTGTCGCCGCAGCTTTGGCGATGCCGTCGCGCTCATTCGCTGCTTCTCACACGACAGGACTGTTAGCCGCCGGCTCTGGCGTAGTATCCGCGGACTGCTGCCAGCCTTGCGGCGTCTTGGCCTGCACGAGGACGGCCAGAAGGCGGTGATGGCCACATCAGCGTCGAGAGCACCCTCGGCGGCGACATCTGTGGCAACGGCAGCAACGGAAGGCACAGAGGCGGTGGCGCCTGTCCAATATGTCGAGGCACATAACACTTCAACGGCTGTCATCGCTGGCGACGCTGCTGGTCGCCTTCAAATGTGGAATGCTGCTGACCCATACATGCAGATGGGCGACTCGCTGTACGATGACACCTTCGGTGGGCCAGTCCCCGACATGTTTCAAGTCGACACAGATCTCCTCACGCTCTTTGATATATTCGGGCAAGGACAGCAGTTGGATGAGGGGCTGCATGCAGACGTCTTCGCGGACGGGCCGCTCGTCGGAGAAGGAGGCGGCATCTCGCAGCGATTCCAGTGGCTGATTTAATTGACGACTTGGTGACTTTGTGCTCGTTTTTGCGTTTGTATTGTTGCTTGCTTGAATTGTATCTAATATTGTCGTAGCTGCGCTTCTACGTAAGATAATACGACCCAGCAGTAAACCATCACCGAATTGCCGACCTCTCCTCTTAGGCGTTTTGTAGCTGGAGAATGATCGTCCTGGTGTTACAGCTCCAGACCCGCCGCGTTTTACTGCTTCGGAATTGGCAAAACTTCATTCCGAACGTTATCGGGAGCGCGCAATTTACGTCACGCCGATCAACACCGGTAAGGCAAGTCTATCCATGGATCGCCGCTTCCTATTATGTCTTGTTGTACTTCCGAACCGACATTGATTGAGACAAGCCGTGGTTAAATACAAGGTCTTCCACCTTCCACTTTCCTCTGAAAAGCTTGAACCACAGCCAAATACCACTCCCCAGCAGCAGCCACCGCACACTATGGCGTCCCCTCTCCCCCATCCACTATCTGCCCTCAGCATCGAGGAGACCAACCAAGCACGCGAAATTGTTCTCAGTCTGCATCCAAACACTGTCATCGACTTCCGTACCATCTACTTGCTTGAGCCGCCCAAGGCAAAGACCGTGCCATTCTTGCAGATCGAGCACGCGGGAAAACTAACACCAAGTACACCAAGACCACCACGGCTGGCTGAAGTCTGCTATGATGTGATAGGTGGTTCCAAGGTGCCAGAGTACCATGAGTCGGTTGTCGATCTGCGCTTGCACAAGCGTACCACCCACAAGATCGTCGACACAGAGTACCATGCCAATCTGAGCATGTAAGATAGCTCCGTTCTGCATTTTGCATGTTGCATTCTTCCGCACACTGCGGCTTACTCCTACTTCTAGCTTCGAGTTTGAAACTGTAGTCACCACAATCAAAAACTCGACGCTTTTTCAGGAGAAGCTCAAGGCCATCAAGCTGCCAGAGGGTTTTGACGTTGTCATTGAGCCCTGGCCTTACGGGGGCCCTGACCTAACCGATGGCCCCGCCCGTCTTTTCCAGGGCCTGTGCTTTGGGCGTGACACTCGCAGCGGCAATCCCGACGTCAATTTCTATGCATATCCCATTCCCCTGATCCCTATTGTGGACGCCAACAAGCGTGAGCTTGTGCGTGTGGACGAACCGGCCACCGGCGGCAAGGGCGATCTCTTGACGGGCAAGACGAGCAAGACAGCCCGCATCCTCGACCATTGTCGGCCAGCTGAATATGTGCCAGAGCTTCTGCCCGGTGGTACACGCAAGGATGTGAAGCCTTTGACTGTAGTACAATCTGAAGGGCCAAGTTTTGCGATATCTGGCGATAATCTGGTCCAGTGGCAGAAGTGGCGGATGCGGCTCTCATTTAACCCGCGCGAGGGCGCCGTCCTACACGACATCAGCTACGATGGCCGAGATGTCATGTACCGGCTAAGCATAAGTGATATGGTGTGTGTCCTTGATGCGCCTCTTGTGTAGCCTGCTAACAACCGGCACAGACGGTCCCATATGGTGACCCGCGGCCCCCTTATCATCGAAAGCAAGCGTTTGATTTCGGCGACGGCGGCCTGGGTCACGCGGTGAACAATCTCACACTGGGCTGTGACTGCCTTGGTGTAATAAAGGTGAGTTTTCTCAAGCGTTAGCTGAGATGTGCATATGGCTGACTAATGTCGTAGTACTTTGATGGCGTCCTGACAAAGGCCGACGGCACGGCTGTGGCCACCAAGAATGTTATCTGCCTGCACGAACAGGACAACGGCATTGGATGGAAGCACACGAATTGGCGCACCGGACGTGCTGTATCCACTCGTCGCCGTGAACTTGTCGTCCAATTTATCATCACCCTTGCGAACTACGAGTACATCTTCGCATTCAAGTTTGATCAGGCCGCCGGTATTGAAGTCGAGGCCCGCGCCACTGGTGTCGTGTCGGTTGTCAACATTGACGCTGGGGCTGCCCCGCCTAACTGGGGAAATATCGTAAGTCCAGGTGCCCTGGCCCAGAATCACCAGCACATGTTCTGCCTTCGTATCGATCCGGCTGTGGATGGCCACAACAATACACTCGTGCAGGAGGAGAGCTTACCCGCTGTCGCCTCTAACCCGGCCACCAACCCCAACGGCAACTACTACGAGGTCTGCCAGACACCCATCTCCACCTCGACCTCTCTCGATCTGGAGCCTACCCGCCACCGTGTCTTCAAAATTCAGAATCGGAGTCGCATCAACCCTGTCAGCGGCCGACCTGTCTCCTACAAAGTCCTGGCCCCACCTACGCAGCTACTGCTGGCCCACCCTGACAGCATTCAGTCTCAGCGCGCCTTGTTTGCCCGCCATCACTTATGGGTCACTCGCTATCGCGATTATGAGCTGTACGCAGGTGGACGTTATACCCTGCAGAGCCGGCGGGAGGTCGGTGGCGTGGCAGACGCAGCAGCGCGTAACGAGAATGTGTTAGATGAGGACATTGTTTTGTGGAGTGTGTTTGGCCTAACCCATAATCCACGCGTCGAAGACTGGCCTGTCATGTAAGATTCTCGCCCGCTATCTCCTGACTTGTGATGTTTTGTATACGAAGGCGGCTGACCACAGACAGGCCGGTGGAAATGCTCAAGGTACAGATCATTCCATCAGACTTCTTCGTCAGCAACCCGGCTCTAGATGTACCCTCAGACATTGATGGCCAGTCTAAGCTAGCAAGCACCTGTTGCGATAAGGCTTAGGCAGGAGATGTACTCCGTACTCCTAAAATTTTGTTTACAGATCTATTAAGGACGTAGTAGGATTCTCAATCTACTGCGCGACATTTTGGCCAGCTACCACACATATTCTTTACATTGGTTCCATAAATCTAGTGGGCTTAAGCCACGGTTTGTAATCCATATAGAAAAACTTCCCACGAGAGTTACAGTATTCAAGTTAAGCTAAGTAAGCTGGAGCGAAGAAAGCATAATCGCCCCTGCTATTACTGAACCTATCAAAAAAGAAACTGGTGAGCTCAATTCCGAGGCAGCCAATCGTAGTATGGTGATTTCCCGAATAAGTATTCCCCGTGTAAGTCAAAGGAATAAAGCACGTCAATTCCCTCAGTCTAGTAGTAAATTACTTCTCCATGAATCTTATTTATTACATTAGGAGAAAAAACTCGAAGGAGGTGGGGACTGGATTGATGAATCGCCTCCGAACTCAAGTTCTGCCCTTCGGAGATGTGATTATATAATGAATATGAAAGCGTCCATGAGCACAGATTCTAAGAACGTCACACATAGGAGGCAAATCGGCGACTCTTGAATTTGTATATTCATTACGGGTATAAATACCCACCTGTTTCTGTTCTGTCTCAGCTCGCTCTCATACTACCCTTTACCTACAATTGTTCAGAAATAAATTACCATTCCAGATACGGCCTGATCAAAATAGAGCGAGGCTCGGAACCATCAGCAGAGAAACCAACAAAAATCATCACAATGCTCCTACCTCGCTTCTTCGCGGTTTTTGCCGCGCTCGCCGCCCTTATTAGCTCCGCCACGAGTTCCCACATAGTCCACAATGGCGCTTGCGTCAAGATGGCCTCTTCCGATGGAAAAGGCACGCAGTACTATGCACGCATACCTCAGGGGTCAAAGTATAGCCATCCTCGCGACGTCGTTCCCGGGAACACCTTCAAGAAACACCTCAAGTCGTGCAACCTCGAAAAGTTCGAGTGCATCTATGACAACGAGGGCAACGCCCACGTCGACTTCATCGTCAAGTCTCGAAATCGGTGGTTCGCCAAGAACAAGTGCAACGTCGACGCTGTTCTTAATGACGCTACCGATGGCGAGTTCACCGTGAACTGCATAGATGGCAGTGTCGAGAAGCTTGCTGATGCATGGCGAGATAACTGAAGGTCTGGAGCTGTGAGCTGGGAACACTGTATCATGTTGAACACCAGCAGCATAAGGTTTACATTGGAAAGACATATTTTTCCGCAGAATTGTTATATTTCTGCTAGAACTTGAATAACAGGAAGAACGGTGTTGGGAAGAGAAAGCTAGCAGGATACTATTTCGAGAATTGGGAATGTAGAGTCAAAAAGGCAATGGGTTTCACGGTCAAGTTGTCGCAGAAATTGAGCTCTGTATCGAGTCCCCTATTCGGAATTTAGTCCAATACACACAATGGTTTATCAATCTAAATCAAAATACGACATGTTGGATGGTCTCTCGAGCTAAAAGTTTGTATCACGGTAGATTCGCAGGGCTTTATCACTTGCTGGTCGCGAGCTTTTCAATACTGTCAATATTGTCTGTCTTTGATCGACCGCAGCTCTAGGACTGATATTCAAAGCCTAACCCCAATTTTCGGTGCCTTTCGAAAAAGGTTTCCAATACTCCGTACTCCGTACTCTGTAGGTAACTTCCGTATCGATGAGAGGGAGATACCCGGAATATTAGTCATGGAGGCACGTGATTGAGAAAAAGGCTAGGATGAACAAGATCCCCCTTCCGGAGCAGATGGGATTCTGGGAAATAAGCAGACAAAAACAACCTATCATCACGTCCCCTACATGTATAATCCATTTTCAGTATCTTACGGAGTACTCCGTACAATATCTTACTTTATTATAGCGGTGCTCGATTGCGGGGGGCGGAGGCCTACATAAGTCTCCCGGATTAGTGGACCCACAGAGCTGGACGACTGCCGTGTAGCGCTGGTCTTAGTTTCTTGGCGTTTTACCTCTGCATGCCGACGAACAAAGAACACGCACCAGCTATTCAGTTCTCCGTAATATAGGCCTTGTGCCTTCTTAGAAAGCCCCCCCGCCGGGGTCCGATATGTGGTATTGATGTCTCGTTGATGTCCTCAGTTCTCCCTCTCCATCTCTCTCTTCGGAGATCACTGGCTTACGATGAAACCTCCATAATTGGTCCTCGCTGCAGGATGGTGACAAAGACCATGCTTCCGTTGCAGGCCTTTTAAGCGGCTCGGGACCCTAGAGTCCGGCGAGTTAATCACCGCCTTCAACTAACTAGCCTACTCCTGTAAGCAGCCCACCCGCTTGTTCGTGTTAAAACAACGAAGTGTAAAATAGTCTTGTATTTTCAGAGAGTTCTTCTTTCTGCTAATAATTCGCAGAAAGCTAGAAAAGGGCAAAGATGCCCCACTTGGGGTCAACACGTGATCCGTCAGTTCGCCTGAAAAGAAAGATACGCTGTACCGGTCTCTGTTCTAGCGACTTCGCTTTTAACTTTTGCTCTCCACCACAAGCTATGTGCGTATGGGCATCAACATGGCCTTGTGGCCAAAGCGCATCGCCGACATGTATGATATCGTCCTAGTCCCCTGATAGCAATGATTTGGTTGCCCTCAGTGTCTTTTATCCGCGTCCTTGCCACAGAAGGCTTATCTTCCGACCAGAATACTGTGTGTGAAAAATCATGATGCTCGTTGACTGACGAGGTCAACCATTATCCTCCATACGCTCAAGTAGCTGTGTCCGCCCTCCCAATGCGATGCAAACAGAGACAGTATTTCCGTGCACTTGACGAGGTCCCTGACGTGTGTCTGTGAAGTCGTCCAATTTTTTGAGATGCCAACTACGATCGAGCACCCAGAAATGAAAGCCCTTGTGCTTGCCTGGATTGGGGGGATAAAACCGTCACCCGCATTGGTTATTTGATACACATTATCCAGCAACCGGGATGCTGCATCCAAAACACGTAGGCGAAGCGATCTCATGCCCCGGCCACCACGATCGTCCGATTCTTGGAAGCAGTGGATGCACTGCTTATGTTTGATACAGACCGGAAGAAACAGAAGCCAGGTCTCCTGCACAAGAGGGTGCGAGGAAGTCAGGCTTTCAACTCTGTCCATGCACGCTGCTATATCACCTACAAAGGGGCAGCCTGGGCTGTCAGACATCTGCCCGCGCTCGTAAATGGACTGGAATAGTGCCATATATGCCTTCAAGATGTAATTGCTCGGGGATGAAATTGGCAGATCAAAGCGATACAGCAAGTCTGGGCGATTGAAAACAGTTTGCAGCGACCTAACAATGTAAGCAGCCGGTCCATAGCACTGCATGCAGGGGATTAATTACCGTACCCCTTTATATTATTCAGCACGGACAGCAGGCTGATGCTTTCCGGGCCGCATATGCTCTCGTCCGGGACGCCTGTGAAGTCCTGTGACACTGATCCCCGGACCGCATCTGACTGAGTTGGCCGGTGCCAGCCAAGCTGCAAACAGGTACGAACTGCAACATCAAGCAGCTCCCACAGACAGCCTCTGCTAGGTTCGGCGAGCTCATAAATGAGAAGCAGCAATGTGGCCATCAAAGAATCTCCACCAGCCGCAGAGATGATTGGGCCAATCAACTCATTTGCTAAGTCCCTGCAGATCTGGGCATATATTCTCCAGCTCGGGGTCCTGTAGCTTTCGCGTGCGGCCGCAATGGCGCAAGCCATCAATATTTGAAATTTCTGTATTCCGCGCAATTTCTTCAAACTCAAACCATTGTGACCTAGGAGTTCCACGGGAATAATATCGAACTGTGGCTTAATGCACCGATTATATCGGGCTAGGAGAAAGCGAATTGTGCTCGGAGTTAGAACAGATCGGTCGAGTGGAATGTCTGCCGGCTTTAAGGTATCTTCCACCACACTAGATAAGTCGGGGACCGCATGAGACTGCGACAAGACTTCGAACACAGTCTCGGTTATTCGCGATGGGAACGAAGAGTTGAGGTATGCGTCCTGTCTTGGACCGGCCACCAAGACGTAGGACGGTGAGCAGAGTACATGATGGGCCGGGGGTGCTGCAATTCCGGCGCTAGGATGGACGTTTCAGCAAGCATATATGTAGGCTGGACGAGTCTGCAGGTCTTTACCATGTTGGGCTTTGGGGCTGTAATGCCAATTGGGACGTCAGCTCCTGAATCTTATCGTTCAGTGCCTTCACATAACTGAGGCATGTCAGCCTGTGGGCCCTGAATAGGTGCGAGCCATTGTATGTGTGCTTTACCTTCTGGGGATATCTTCGCCAAGAGCAGAGTCTCTAAAAGTACATTCAAAGTCGCTTCTAGCACAGCTAGCACATGCCGGCAACAATGAGTCGCACTTTCAGATCAGTGTCAGCTGTCAAGTTCTCTCAGTTTGCCTTCACGAAGACCTTACTTTTATTCTTCTGTTCCGGCAGCGCGTGCATGTCTGGAGCATACCAATGGCCACCATCTTGGATATACAGACCAATTCAAGCAGGAGGTGATTTTTCCGTAGATGGACCTTGAGAATAGATTGTGTCAGAAGAGGCTTCGTCAATGCCGGATAACGCCATCAGACCCACGAGGTTCGGAGATTTCCGCCCCATTCTTATCTGAGCGCGTCCATATCCGACCATCTCGTCCACATCTGCTATGCGCAACTCACTGCGCAAAGTATCACCTGGTCGCTTGTCGTGCAATATTTCAATACTGTGCACTGTGGTTGGTTGTCCTAGTGCTTGTCTCCAATCGTACCCGCCTTTATCGACGTTATCCTGTTCGCCTCGGCCCCAAATGCAGCGATCGCATCGCCGGTCGACGAAAGTCTGCATGCGCTGCAGGAAGCGCAAGACAAAGGTAAAGACCGCTGCTTCGGTCTAGCACTTTCGTTCGTCTGTGTGCTGATAGATATGGGGCCTTAGTGTGACTTCAAGTTTCCGTGCTGCACGTCATGCAAACTGGCAAATGTCGATTGCGTCGGCTTTGATTCTGCGACAAGAGAGGCCGTCCCAAGAAGGTAGGACATTGTGCATCGGCTCTGTCGCAATCTATACGTATACATATACTCACTTTTTTTCGGTCCGCAGTCTGGTCAGGTCTCTCGAAGCTCGCGTGGCGGAACTGGAAGCACAGACGCTTGCTTTCCGCGAGGCGCCGCAGAATATCCCCAACGCAATGGCCTCCATCATCGGCCGAGCTACGATATCGGTCAGCATCCCATCTTCCACGTCGTATTTGCACTCGAGGATATCCTCCGGCCTGATCTTCCAGCCCTCATGTCCACCACTTGCCATTGTTCGGGACCGAGGGTATGCCCCGTCTGAGAAATCACAGTCGCCCACAGACGGGCGGCTCCAAGGCTTGCTCAGTTCCAGAAAGTATGTATCCAATTCTGTGATTGACCTCAGCAGTATACCATCTTCGGCCATCGAGCGGATTGTCGAAAACTATGCCAGTACACATCTGCCCCAGTACCCTTGCATATCTTCACCGATGCTCGAAGGCATCGTGAAACGGGCCAAAGACAAGGTTGCCAGGGATAAGAAACCACTTATGGCACGAGAATTTTCATTGCTTTCGGGTCCGGATCACCTCGAGTATTTTGTTTTATTCATAGTGCTAGCCATCTCGTCGATGACCTTGACATGGAAGGACGACGAACAGGCACGAAGGGCGTCCGAGTCGTTTTACAACTCAGCCATAACGCATCTTTACCAATTGGAAGACGACAGCGAGATCAGGGCGCTCCAAATCTCACTACTTCTGGCCCATTACGCACAGATGTGTCCAGAGCGGCTAGATAATTGGACATGCATAGCCAATGCTGTCAGGATTGTCCTAAATTTAGGCATGTTTAGGAAATGCCCAGATACAATGCCAGACCAGCAGGTTCGCCAGCGGACGGAGCTTTTTTGGGTCACATACGGAATGGAGCGGTCTCTTTGCACCAACCTCCGACTGCCATTATCATTTCCCGAGGACGTCATCACAGCAAGTGTGCGCATCTTCCCATTATCATATCGTCGGTTCCCTCTGCTCATTCTTATTTTTAGGTTAATGATCCCTCGGGCAACCTCTCTATAACTTTTCCGAATGGTGACGAAGCCGTCAAAAGGTCATCTGCTAGTCAAATTCGAAATTACCGCAATTTAGAAACAGAAGTCCATCGAGTTCTCCATTTGGAGGAGGACCTAAACCACTTTGGGCATGCGACCATCGACAGCTGGATCGAAGATATAGAGACCCGGCTGAGAGTCTGGTATTCCGAGGTGCAGTGTTTCACCCGTCACAACATGCTAGAGTTTAAGCACATTCAGTTCCATCATCTCCGGGCCCGAATTCATCGACCCACACCACGCCTCAGACTGCGGACGTCCGAGGACCGCCGTATTGTGCTTGAGGCATCGCGTGTCCTAATTGAGGACTATCTCGGACAGCAGCGCCGGCGAAGGCTTTTCTACCCGTGGCACGGCGTACATATTCTGTTTGAGACAGCCCTCATAGCGCTTGAAGCATGCTGGTCTTCTCGCGACTGGCAGCCACTCAAAGGACAGGCACAGCAGATGCTGGGAGAGTACATTCCACAGTGTCTAAAAGTCATCACGATGATAGGACAGAGGTGGCATGGGGCCACTGCTTGTGCAGATAGGCTAAATCCCCTTGTTGACAAGGTCCAGTCTGCATTGTCTCAGGTCCCGGGGCCGTTTTCCGTGTTTGGTGACATCTCGATCACTGAAGAGATTGAAAGTCTGCTGTTCTCGGATCGGCCATTGATATGGAACTACCGATACCCGGGTGCAGATATTTCCAGTCTCGACAAAAGTCCATTGCCAGCTGACTTCCCCATGGCTGAAGACTTGGAGCTGTTCCAATGGGATCCTACCTGGAGTATAATTCCATCCGATCCGGCAGGAGAAGCCGCCCCCAGTGGCGATCCAAAGTTACTGTCGTCAGAGGCTCTCACGATCTCATCTTTGTTGAGCCTTTCAGCGGCGATAGAGCCCTCCTGACACTTTGCTTTCTAAATTAAGAGCCATCAAAGCACGTAGAACTTATTCTTGTCCATGTTTGTCCGCAATACACTTGGTCTTTTTCTATACATAAACAGTGCGTAGCTGAATTGCCGCATGACTGGGTTGCAATTGAGGTCGTTGGTGCAGACAGTGCGCCAAAGTTTACTGACCACGCTATATTGCATCTCGCAGACTCTAGCTGTAATATTTCAAACTTCATAAAAGGACTACAATGTGTCCTTAGGACATAACCTCAGACTGAACTGTAGATATCAAATGACGTGGTAATCTTGTAGTTCAAGCTCGCTTGAATAACTCAGCTAAAAAGGCTTGGTTTTTGGTCCTAACTGGGTCTGTAACAAAGTATATATACGTTCTATTCTATCTTATAGAACCCGTGCGTTTCCTGTATTCATTGGAATTACAGTAACCTTTCGTTTGAACTGCTCTTGCAAATTCTCAAGTCCCACCGTAAAGGCTCAACTTGCTGTCTTGGTCGCTTTCGTTCTAAGCTTCATCATAAGGAAAACGAGCGCATAGGAGCTTACACAGAATAATGCAGTGATTCCGACCTGATCGTCGAGTTAGAAAACACGAGGTAAAAGACATCGCACAGTACATACTGAGGAAAGATAAGGGGTAAACGTACATCTCTCCATCCATAGTAACTTTCGTTGATGTTCATGCTTCTCATGTAATCGGAGCCACTTTTGTAAGGACAATAATCACAATATGTCGTGTTTTCAGGGTTGGTCACATATCCCGCGTTCTCGGACAGGAATTCAGATATGTAGTCGGCGCAGGTCGTGTTCGGCGGCAACGGCACTGTGGTGAGCTCGCTGGCTGTGCACTCGACTTCCACACCCCACGTAACTGGCTCCAGGAGGCCATCAATGAGATACGTGAAAGGGTCCATCCAATACAGCCAATACCGCCAAAAGGTCGGTATGAGCGAGTAGGGAACCACAACACCACAAAAGTTGATCAATGCGGCACCGACAATCAGGGGGTTTGCAAGGGAAGCAAAGTATTCATTGGGCGAATAAGCGGCAATGGCCTTCCATGTCGTCGGGTTAGTTTGACGTCTAGACAATATATGCAGCTGCTGAAGCTTACCTGGCCGATAGAGGTGTAGAGAAATTCGTAGACTAAGGCGTCACACAATTGTTAAAATGTATACACAAAGGGCATCCAAGACGTCAGTAACTCTTACAGATCATCTGCAGATACACCTGTCCAGATCGGCTGGCATCAACTGGTAAGCCAGCAGTGAAGTACCATCCGGCAAAGTACACGGTTGCACACACGACCAGGAGTGGGATTTCAGACAAAAGTTGCGCAGAAATAAAAGCGAGCCAATGGTACGCCTTAGACTTCTTCTCACGGGTTTCAAAAAGGTCCCGATTGCGGATGAAGAAAGGCTGCATTTGGTTAATGCATCCAGGGGCGACAAAAACGAAGTTGAAAACAGCCATAAGCCGTAGCTGCAGGTCAAAGGAGGAGTTTCCAATTTTCCAAAATGTAAAGCCACCGAAGAGAGCGTTCGTGATGTGCAGACTGATCTTGTTCCAAGCGTAGTCTGGGTTACGCCATAAGGAAACCAGCTGTCTCTGCGTGACGAGAACAATCTGGTACGGTAGAGTGGTCGCAAAATCGCTATTGTTCTCCTCTACCAACTCTGCACGTACAGCGACACCAGTTTTGGATTCATCCGTCTCAGCTGAAGAGTCGTTTAGAGCGTCAAGCTCCTCAATTGTCTGCTTGTACTCGTCAGAGTGCAACCACTCTTGTGGCCAGTCACTTTCCGTTCCAAAGCGGCCTTGCACAACGTCAACAATGTGCTCTGCCGGGTTGACGTTGATTCCGCATGGTGCTCCTCGGTGGGAGAAGTAGTCCAGCACTATGGATGAGTTCACACCGGTCGGACCGAAATATGTGGTCTTGCCTCCCCTTGCTAGTAGAAGGAGAACGTCGAAGTTTTCAAACAGTGTCGCTGATGGCTGGTGTATCGTGCATATAACCGTTTGGCCCGAAGCTGAAAGCTTCCTCATGAAGCGGCAGATCTCGTACGCGGACTGGCCATCGAGGCCAGACGTCGGCTCGTCGAGAAACAGCAAGGCCGGCTTAGCGACCAACTCGACAGCAAGCGTCAGCCGTTTGCGCTGTTCGATGGACAGTCCTTCACCTGGTGAGCCGATGATAGCGTGCTGCATGCTGGTTAGTTCGAGCAGATCCATTATCTGGATGACATGCTGCCGTTTTTCGAGATCCGGGACGCTCATGGGCTGCCGCAGTCGAGCAGAAAAAAGAAGAGCCTCTAAAACAGTAGCAGTTGGCTCGTGTACATCGTTTTGCTCGCAATATCCAGTGGCCCGCTGGAAGCTAATACCTTGGGGTTTCCCGTTAACCATGATGCTACCCTCGACCCGACCGGCATCTTTGCGCTGAGCGAGAACGTCCATAAGCGTAGTCTTTCCAGCACCAGAGCTCCCCATCAGTGCGACTAGTTGACCAGGTTTGACAAATCCAGAGACACTGTCGAGAAGCAATTTGTCCTGTCCCTCGTGACGTACAGTGTACTTGATATTTTTGAATGTGAAAACCGTGCCACCTGATGTGATGCGCTCTGGTTGGCCGTCGATCTTGACTGTATTGATAGCCAACTCTGGATCTTTCTCTTTGCTTTTTTGCTTCTTATACTGTCCCCGGTTGTATAAAACCCTGGATCCGGAGCCACTGTGAAGGTTCACTTCGAAAGCCACGGCAGTAGAGAAGGCGAAAAACAGCCAGAACCCAATGAGAATACCCACGTTTCTCCATATGTGGCTGGAATATGCTTGATACCTGTACGCAACGTAGTCATCTCCGTGAATAACAGACTGACCGGGATCAGAGCCCTGCACGGTGCAGCTCTGGTATCCATGTGCGTTCGAGTAAGATGGTCCGAAGGGAACGAGTTGCGGCGACACACACTCCATAGTGCGGTGGCCCATTTCGCTTGCAATCACAGCTTCGAAGGCATAGCTCGCCGGGTTGATGTATGCAATCCAGCGAAACCATGGATGCATGCTTGTCGTTGGAATTAGATAGCCTTTGAAAGACGATTTTCAGTATGACTGTCCTCGAAAGATCCGAGCTAGAAGAAGAGGTTATGCATACCAGCATAAACCATAGTCATCATGGCTACGAGGCCAGAGACCTGGCTTGCCAACCCGAAGTGCCTGCACCACGCCCCGATAGAGCGATACAACGAAGTGCATGACAAGGTATGCAAGTAAAAGACAAACCAAAGAGTGAAAAAGTTCCCGGCATCGTTGCGGAAGCCGACCATAAAATAATATACCAGCTCGAAGAGGCTATACATTATGAAGACGAGAGGTATGTCTGTGATGACACAAGTAAAGGCATATGCGGCGGGTCTGTTGAAAGCGAGGTGCTTGTGCCTTGTAAGAATGGGGCGTCCCGTGAAGGAGGCAACGGTCTCGGCCATCTTGTACAGAGACCATTGCAGAATGGGGAAAAATAGAGCACCAGGCCGTGTAAAGATCGACTGGCTGTCGTTGGGCATATTGTACAACAGACTACCTGTGACTAAAGCCATGATGATTGTTGACACCAGCTGAAGAATGTTGGATTGCCGGTCACCCCACAGGATCTGAAATTGACTTAGCCCACGAGTGTTAGTGACTGTTTAAATACGGCCCAGGTTAAGTCGTCGGAAATGCTGGAGGGTTTGGGGTTTTTGAGAAGCATACCGCACGGTCAACGCATTCACCTGTCTGAAAAAGGAAACATGGTATGGACTCTCGTTACGCGACAAGAGTGACACCGTCCGATTCTTCTCCAAGTCACGGGTGGCCTTTAGGTTAGCAATTTCGCGCGCTAGAACGTCCTCTGAAACTGATTGAATCTCTTGCATCGCCATTTCAAATGTTGCGCTGGATTTGTACCGTGTTTCGAACTCCTCGGCCGTGTTCGGAACCTTGCCTTCAAACCCAGGAGTGACCATCCTCTCTGTGGGAACTGCAACGCCCGTGAGAAAGTCCGCTACATTGGCGCCAGGAGGGAAAGTAAAGCCCATGCTTTCAAAATAGTGGCGTGCCTCGGAAGCAAGCCCATAATATATCTCGCGTCCCTCGGCAAGCACGAGAACCTTGTCGAAGAGATCGTAAATGCCATTGCCAGCCTGGTAAAGCGTCGCAATGATTGTTTTCTGCTCTTCGTCGGCCATGCGGCGTAAGACTTTCGCAAAATCAAGCGCATTACTCGCGTCCAGACCTCTGGTAGAGTTGTCCCAGCATTGCAGAGGAGCCTGTCCATTCCTGTGAGCTTCAAATATATGGCTAGGGGTTGTAGCCCAGACATACCTGTGTAGCCAACACCTCAGCTAGTGACACTCGCTTTCTCTCACCTCCAGAAACACCACGCATGAACTCATTTCCCACAATCGTGTTCCTCGTGTGCGCGATTCCAAGATCTGAGAGAATTTTGTCTTGGGTATGTGCGAGGTAGTCGTTCTTGGTCTTGGTGCGTCCTGGCCGTGATCCGGGGAGTTTCGTTGCCGTAGCGAAGTTGATCGTTTGACCGACAGTCAAGGTGGGGAAGTGAATGTCCTCTAGTAGTCACTGTCAGAACTGGATGCCTGCTGTAAGCTAATTGATTGCTTTATGTAACTCGCCTTCGGTGTTGATGACAATGTGCTGGCGAAAGTGTCTTGCTTCTTTGGGGCTAATGTTTCCGTAACGAACCTGCCCATTGACATATGGGAATTCGTGTACGTGGTTTGCAATGACTTTCAGCAAAGAGGTGCAACCTGATCCAGGTCGTCCAAGCACCAGGAGCTTAAAAAAATAGGCTCATGTTAATATAAGTCGCTTTCCAGAAGCATCTTCTAACGCGAATAGATCTTACCATTTCCCCAGGGCGCACCTGGCCCGTAACATTTTGGAGAATATGCTTTGTAGGTGTTATTGCCAGGCTCGTCGTACCACGACATATTGATGCGCGAAGTTATGGTGAGAGACCTACTCGTTTGGAATTACTTTGACGCGTCGGAATCAAATTGGCAACGACAGAGGTGAAAGTCGGCGCAAAGTCTTCGCCCTGCCCATGAACTAGAATGTTCACATCTTGAAAGCTGACGGTCAGGTGTTTCTGTGGCATGCGGTCTCCATCATGGTCAGCACCGTAGACCGTTTTTTCATTGTCAGACGCGTCCATGATGCATGGTAGCTTACTGTCATCTTACGTTGGCGACACCCGCAAATGCAAGCGTCCTTCTATCGTAGATATACCTCGCGCGGGCAAGAGTCCGGATATAGGCGATCCATATTACTCCGTTATGCGTGCCATGTGGCGCCCGCTCAAGAGATGTCGGAAATGGAATTTATTCAGATGTGGGAATAAGCTCCTCGGAAGTGTGCTAAAAATAAAGACACTGTGGACAAGAAGCTACCAAAGGCTGCGTGGAAACAAAATATATTCTACAGGGGGTTTTCACCTACCGTTTAGCGTAGACGGAGTACTAAACGACCCACTATAGTCAATTACAATGCAAAAACGGCGTTAGGCTCGTGGGGCAGTTTTCCCCATTTAACATCAATCGGGCAATATGCGGGTACTCTCTACTATTTTAATTCCGTAATTCCGCCGATAAGCCGCCACTACGGAGTAAGCCCCCGGATTTATTTGAAAATCTGCAAATCCACAAATCCGCAGCTCCTGCTTCAAAAACCTCCATGTGTGCTGGACGATAGAAGGGATGGCATATGACCAAGCCTGCATATGACTAGCTATGGAGAGGAAGCCGGCAAAGATCTGTCGGGCCTGCGAGCCATGTCGCCGCCGAAAGGTCCGCTGCAACGGCGGCACCCCCTGCCAGCATCCAGGTTGCCAGAGCAATCCTGTTGAGTGCCGCTATCGAATCAAGGCACGCAACAGAATCTCGCTAAAACGCAGCGCAGAGCCCAGCAAAGAAGCGTCCGGACTTCCAGCTGTCCCGCCTAGTTCCTCTCTGGCCACGGCTATTGAAGATGCGCCAAATTTGCTGCCTGTCGACGACGGCCAACTGCAGACACGGAATGGACTTTGCACTTTGCCATCGGCTCCTTCTGATGTTGCCGTGCCGTGTCCGATGAGCCCAGAGCAGAGCGTCTATGACAGTATCACTGCAACGCACCACGCGCCCACTGCTACCGACAGCTCGCAGCTCTTTTACGGGCCTTCCTCCAACTTCGCCTTCCTTCACCAGGTGCATCGTGGCACGCTCCAAAATGTGCCGGTGACGGACCTCTTTCGGCGCCGGGACGTGCAGGAGGGTGGGCCCGGGTTGGACATGTTCATGCAGCGGACCCTGTTCTTCGGAACGCCATCTCGCGTTAGTGCCGATGTCATATGGCCAGCCTCATGTCTGCAGCAAATTCCACGGGACGTTGCAAAGGTGTACCTGGGCCATTTCAAGACCGTCTATCTTGCCCGCTTTCCCTTCTTCACGCCTTCGGAGCTTGACTTGCTCTTCGATGACTTTTACACCGTCGAACACGACTCAGAAAAGAGCATGCTACTGCCACAGACAAAAGCCGGTATTTTGGCTGCGCTGGCATTAGGCGCCCTCTGCACTCCTCAGACCAACACGGCTGAGACCCTCCTCATGCAGTCCAAGTCACAGGTCATGATGTATGACGACGCAGTGACCCTGCAGATGCTGCAACTGTCACTGCTGTCATCCGAGTATCAGCTGCAAATGGGTCGTTTAAATTCAGCTTACCTACATCTCGGTGCGGCGTGCCGAAAAGCGTTTGCCCTAGGCTTGCACAAGGAGACGAATGCTACGAGCGACAGCCAAGATGCCCTGCGGCGCCAGCGAGCCACTATCTGGACCCTGTACTGTCATGAGACGTAAGCATCTGGCTATTCCCCCAGCCAAAAGTCGTCCGTCCACCGTTGCGTACTAATCTTGCTGTGATGCAGATGGTTATCTCTTGTTCTTGGGCGGAAATCCTCACTGAAGGTGGCAGACATCTCGTGGTCGATGCCAAAAGAACACACACTTCTTTTCAGCCTCTCCCAGCTTTCAGTGATTGCCGAGAACGCAGCTGAGACAATTTACGGTTGCCGATCAGTGTCACTGCTGCAATTGTACGAGAAATCTGAGAAGGTACATGTGCAGCTACGTCAGTTCGCGGAGCAGTTTGGTATCGCTTCGGCCACTACGGGCCACAACAAAAGTATATTTGACGATGCTTCATCTATACTTTTGCACAACTGTAAGCAGGAGTAGGAGGATGTAAATCCATTATGATCAGGCTTTTGCTGATGCCAGATTCAGGGTATTATCATATAGTGACGCTCGCGTTTCGGCCGTTTCTTGTCGCGGATTCGGCACTGCGCTCATCCGAGATGGTCCCGCATGACGACGAGATGTGGCTGCGTCATGCCTGCAGATCCGCTGTCAGTGCTGCTCAAGACTCGATTGCTTTTACCAGCAGCATGTTCAGGAAGCCCAATGCAGTTGCACCAGTACGCTCAACGTTACAAAACTTACAGCACAATCTCTGATATTTTTCTAGTCGATGCGTTACTGTACTTACTTCTTCGATTCGGCCTGCTCCATCCTCATGCACGATACTTTGTATCATCCCTCCAAGTACCCCTACAATCTCGAATACATACACGATGCTCTGGGTTGCTTCGGCATGATGGTACAAGATGAGCCGATGACAGCGGCGTCTGGATCGATCCAGAAGATTCTTCAGGCCGTGGAAGAGACCATTAATACCCGGCAAGTCCAACAGCTTTCCATTTTGAACAAGCGTGCATTAGCAAACGCGCCCACTAGTCACCGGCTGCCGATTGGAGCCAATGAATGCATTATGTTTAGTGATCATCCATCATCTCACCTTAAAGAGCCCAGCGGTTCTTCTACGGAGACACGGGGGCACAATTCACTCTCTACGGAACATGAGACCACGGTGAGAAATGAGACTGCTTTACCACTGAATCACTTCTCAAACCTTGATCTCGACATTTTGACAACAGACCTCTTAAATTTTTTCCCTGTCGACATCACAACTCCAGAAAGCTCTGCTTCGGCCTTGTTCTCTACATAAGTCACCTAAGACATATAGCAGGTGTCATAATTGTAACACGTGGGACTGACATTGTTACTGCAACTACACGGTGCGTGATAGCGGGCCCACAACCTCTGCCTGACAGAAAACCGCCATCAGATAAAGATATCATCCGGTCAACTTGCGACAACTCTTAGAAATTATGCACTGCCTAAACGTATGGTAAATTATAGCATTAGGTTAAGGCGTAAATTTCAAATTTCAAATTATAGAGTTTGTGAATGTCAAAGAAAGCCCAAATGGGTACGGAGTACTCGTGTTAGTGTAGACTTCGCTCCGAGTAATTACGCCAGAGGTTAAGTAAGGCGTACTGATAGATGTTTGAGCATCGTTGCACTTAGCGCTATCACTTATTTAGCTTGCTCGCTGCCGTCTACTTGACCATCACAATAACATCAAAGCCTTTCGGAGTAAACACCCCCATGGTGCTTGTTATATCCGAGTTAAAAAAAAATCCCCGGAGATTTATTTTGCCGAACCCGGCGATCGCAAAAGTCGACGCGTTTCATGCACGCGCTTTAAAGTGGTCACTCTTGCTGCAGAAGCGATTCGTCGATTCGCTGACTGGTACGCTCGAGCGGCCAATAAAACCCCCTTAATTACTCTTCCGACTATATGTGCATAGCAATGGATGGTTTTGACTTTAATGCAGAGCCACTTGCGGAAGAGTCATCTTCAGGGGATGACGGATTTGCGGAGAGCCACGCGATATTGGTGAACAGCGACAGCGATGACGACAGTGACGGCAACAGCGGCAGTTCGGAGGAGAGCGAGCTGGATGAGGATGAATTGGCGTTTGCGAGGCACCATCTGATTGAGTGGGAGGCGATGGAATCTGACGATGAGACATCTGAATTCTCGGAAAAAACCGACCCCGACAACTACACCGAGTACTCAGTGAGCGATGACGACAACGAAGAGGATATGGGCACCAACTCGAGAGACGATAATACATCTGGCGGTGGCGGAAAACACGGACGTGGGGCTGGGCTGGCGGCATTCCCACTGTTCACGCAACTTCCGGCTGAGCTGCGCTTGCGAATCTGGGAGCTGCATTGCCCGGACCTGCTGGAGCAGGTCAGAGTATTCGAAATGCGCCTTGAACGCGGCGGACGTCTAGCGATGGGCCAGTCGATGATTCGGAAAGGTCGACCGCTGCGCCGATTTATGAGAATCTGCCAGGAGACGAGGGCACGAGGCTTGCAGACGGTGCCAGACGAGCTGCCGCTGGGAGTGTACGGCCGGGACAGTGGCGTGCACCGATTTCACGCGCAGTCGGACATATTGCACTTCAACTTCGAGGAGACCGGGGCCATACCGAGGACCGGTCTGTACGACAATGTACGCAACATTGCTATGTTCGATATGGAGGTACGGTCACGTGGGCCTGGGGTTTACCACGACTACGTCCATGGCCACATTGTATTGGGAATCATGTCGGAGGAAGACGTCTCACATCAGAGGCCGTCAGAGCTACGACCAGCCGAGTTCTCCGAGGCACTTGAGAAGGCATTTCCGCAACTTGAGAATCTGTACGTGGTGGAGAAGGGCATAGTGCAGTACCTAGATCGGTGGGTTGGGGCGGACGACCACGAAACATATGAAATCAACACCTATGAACGGGACGAGTCAGGCCGCCGCCTGCCGCTTCGACTAATCTACTGCTGGCACGCACCGCCACCAAAACGTCGCATCTCCAGTGGCCAGACAGGGGCGCACGGCGAGGAAAAATGCGAGGAGGGCTACAAAGAGGAGGCGGTGTTGAATCACGTGTCGGCGCTGAAGGAGAGGGGAGTGCGGTTTTCACGGATGCTTCTGTATGAGGACGAGGAGGGCTGTGAGGTACTATTGGAAATGCGCACGCTATGCGAGGGCGGGAAATGGCCTGTGGCGGGTGATGGGAAGCCAAGGGTCGACGATCCACCATATTACGGAGACGAGTGGATCGGGTCGGCTGACGACGAGTATGAGAGCGAAGGGATAGACGATGAGGATTCGGAGGATAGTGAGGAGGAGGACAGTGATGACGGCGAAGACGTGCAGGCTCTGGAAGCAAACTTTTCCAGTCCCGAGCCGGAGTTGGAGCCAGAACCAAGAACGAGTAGGCAAGGCAAGAGACGACGTGTTCTTTCGGATTCTGACGACTCGGATTCAGAGACAAACGGAGGGAAAGCGGCGTCGAACGCATCGCAGGTCAGGGCTAAGAGACAGCGTCGTCTGGTCGTCTCGGACGACGAAGACAGTCAGGAGGAGGGAGAAAAGAAGAAGCAAGATGAAGACGACGAAGACGACGAAGACGAAGACGGCAATTCGTCGGAGACAGAGGTCGGACAGGACGCCAAGAAGCTGAGTCTCGCAGAGAGACTGCAGCTAAATCGATTGAACAATCCGATTTCGTCAGACGAAGACGAGAGTGACTCTGCATCGGACAGCGAGGTGGATGGCAGTGCATACGGCGCATTGGTGGAGATGTTGGCCAAAGAGGGGGACGAGAGCGAGAGCGAGAGCGAGAGCGAGAGCGAGAGCGAGAGCGAGAGCGAAAGCGAAGGGGAGGGTAGCGGGCGATGGGAAGAAGGAGAGTGGGGGGGTATAGATGAATCCGGGGAGGAAGATGATGAGGACTGAAGCGGGGATGATCTGCAGCCATGGTGACATTTGTGACGATATGAATGAAAGAGCAGCAGCCGGTATTAATACTAGCGCCTTGAATTTGCAGCCGCGGCATTGGTTGCGCGTCGGCATTTTCGGGATAAGCAACGCCAACGGCGCCAGCCAGCCGTGGATATCTGACCCGGGCCAGCGTGCGTTTGTGGGGGGGGGGAGGCCAGCGACCGTCTCGCCATCGACACGATGCGGAAAATTGGCATTGACGAGATTGCGCGACACGCCAGCGCAGACGACCTGTGGGTGGTGGTTGACGGGGCCGTCTACGACCTGACCGAATTTGCGCCGCGACATCCAGGCGGCACGGCCGTGCTCCAGCAGTATGCGGGTCGGGATGCATCGCGGCCGTATGGCGCCGTCCATGCGCCCTCTTTGATCGGGGCGAGTCTTGAGGCCAGCCAGCACCTCGGTGTAGTGGACGAGGACTCGGTCACGCCGCAGTGGCGGTCGGCGACAGTGTCAGCAGACGTCGACGAGGGGCCAGGGCGACAAGGCCGCGGTGGTGCGGCAGCCTCGCAGAAACCTCCGCTGGATTCCGTCATCAACCTGCAGGACTTCGAGGACATTGCGCGTGCCGTGCTGCCACCGCAGGCCTGGGCCTACATCTCGACGGGATCGAACGACAACGTGTCACGTGATGCCAACGCTGCCTTTCTGCGCCGCATCTGGCTGCGGCCGGCAGTGCTGCTACGCGACGTCTCGACCGTCCGCACGGCCGCCACGCTTTTTGGCGGCAGCGTGTCGCTGCACATGCCCGTTTACGTGGCCCCGACCGGTGCCACTCGCACGGGCGGCCCCGAGGGCGAGCTGGCCATCGCACGGGGAGCCGCCGCTGCTGGTATCATTCCCGTTATCTCCACCGTCGCCTCGTTTCCCTATGAAGAGATCCTCGCTGCCCTTCCCGACGGTGCCCCTGCCTTCTTCCAGCTCTACGTCGACCGCGACCGCAGCCGCACCACGGCCCTGCTGCGCTCTCTGCTGCACAGCCACCGCGGTCGCGCTGCCATCCGCGCCGTCTTCGTCACCGTCGACGTCCCCGTCGTCTCCAAGCGCGAGGCCGACGAGCGAGAACGCGCCCGGGCTTCCAGGGCCTGCGGAGAGCCTGTTTCGCCTGGCGGCATAGCCAAGCAGGCCGGCTCCTTTGTCGACTCCGCTTTTGTCTGGGAAGACCTCCGTTGGCTGCGCGACGTCATCGATGAGGCTACTGCCACTCCTGCCGCCGACAACACTTCACATCTGCCCATCATCGTCAAGGGTATCCAGCGAGCCTCCGACGCTCTAATCGCTCTCGCCATGGGCTGCCAGGGCATCGTCCTCAGCAATCATGGCGGCCGCGCTGCCGACGGCGCGCCCCCCGCTATTCTCACCCTCCTCGAGCTTCACCGCTGCTGTCCAGAGATCTTTGGCCGCATGGACATCTTCGTCGACGGCGGCTTCCGTCGCGGCTCTGACGTCGTCAAGGCCATCTGCCTCGGCGCTTCTGCTGTCGGATTTGGGCGTCCCTTCGTCTACTCCGTCGGCTACGGCTACGCAGGCGTTAGGCATGCTGCTGCCAGTATGTCCTTGCCCACGGCCCGTTCCTGTCTCCCTGTCTACCCATCGCCGCTGACCCCTACAGTCATACAAGACGAAGTACGAACGGCGATGCAGCTTTGTGGCATGTCCGACCTTATGCGGGATGCCCATCCTGGCTTCGTCAACACTGCCGAGATTGACCACATCGTCCCTATTCACAATGATCATCCATACGCGAAGAAGCCCTCAATTCCATCGAGACTATGAGCCTGTCTAGCTGTATTCTACCGCCAGCGTGTGCTGTGTATACTGAACATGTTGCATAGCACCGCTGCGACAGGAATGGGAAAAGATAGCAAGCCGCAATCATAACTTGAATAAAATGACCTAGCTAAGCTCTTTTCGTTATGTGGAAAAGCGAAGTCAATCAAGCGCACCATTTTGTCGAATGTGGAATTATACAACGTCATAAGAGCCGCGGAATAACTGTATGAGTGGGAATGCACTTAACGACACTGATGACGGCAACAGTAATAAAAAAACCGAAACACACAACCTATGGGATTTCTAAGAAGCCGCCTCCTCCTGCTCTGGGACTCTCTCGGTAAAATGGCGTGGAAGCCGGTTCTCCTCCTCCGTGTACGGGACCCCGGCCTCGTCGCGGGCCATGTCGTTCACCCACTTTTCGTGTCCTGCAATGCCTCCCTTACCTGCCTTCTTGACGCCAACCTTGTTCCACTTAGCCGCCAGGTAGAACCAGCCGAGAGCATTGCCCACGGTGCCAACCTCGTCCGAGACGCCTGTCTCGGCCGCATAACTCATCGAAGAGTGCAGGTCATCATCCGTGAACAGCTGCATCAGGTGGCCAGCGACTGCTTTCCAATCTCCGGGCTGGACCAAGAAGCCGTTCACCTTGTCCTTCACCTGAAGCGGAATTCCACCGGCGAGCGTCGCAATGACTGGGCGACCAGCATGCAGCGCCTCCGAAACCTTGACTTCGAAGCCCTCCCGAGTCGACAGTTGAAGGACAACGTGCGCATGAGCTATGATGGTGTTGAGGAGCTGGTCGTTGGGATCAAGGCGCATAATGCTGACATCGTCTATGAGATGCGGGTAGTGCGTCTCCAGCTGGTTCATCGTCTGGTCGTAAATCATGGAACCGTCCGGGTCATCGATAGAGCCGTTGCCGCATACCACAAGTTGGGGGGTGTCTTCTACCCCAGCCTTCTCAAGCAGCCGGCGAAATTCAGCGTACGAGTCAATGACAGTCGGGATGCCCTTGGCAGGATCAAATCGCGCAACTTGGGCAATATACTTGCGCGCGGGCCAGTTGAGCTCCGTCATTCGCTGCGAGTGACAAGCGGTGTTGTAAATATGGCCGTAGTACCCGGTGTCCCAGCTGATTATGGGCTTGTTCAGGCCATCGAGCCAGTCCGTGGTCGCTGGGAAGTAGACCCTCTTTTCTACCGGGACAGTATGAGGGACGAATGCGGGAATCGGGTGGCTGATAAACATGTCGGCCTCCTTGATGTTGCTCCACAGAAAATTCCAGATGTCTTCCTGCGGCGAGCCCGGCACCGCAACAAGGTCGCTGCGAATCTGGATGTGCGACCGGTACAGAACCGGTCGGTTGGGCGTCAGGCGCTTGATCATCGGAATGATACCAGGCATCTGAGGGTCGTCGATCTGAAATCGTTGTCAGACGTATCGAGCAAACAAGAAAAAAAGTGGTATCAGTATCACCTACCATGACAACATCAGCGCCGCCCTCTTCGGCCGGACGGAGAGGGCCACCTTCCGAGAACCAGTAGCGGTTTGCATTCTCGGAAATCCAATCAATAATGGACGCCTTCTCTTCAGGCGAAATCCGTTGGTCGGGATGGCTGACTCCCTGAAGGATGTTGTGCATGTTCTTGGTGATGCGGAACACGCCAGGGCGCGGTTTCGGAACTGCCTCCTTGTTAGTTTCCGTGTGTTTGACGAGGCGGGTACAAATGAAGTATATCAACTGTTCACCAATACTTACCATACCACGTCAGGTCGACGCCCAGAAGACGAGCGAAACGGACGAGTGCATGACGCATCAAAGCGACTCCACCTCCCTGGGGAGTGCTGCTGAAAAAAGCAATCTTGGTCTTTTCGCTCCGGAGCTGCTTGGCAAACACCATCATGGCGTTCCATGTGGCCGCGCCACACGTGTCCTTGTAGTCCTGGATGGTCGTGAGCTGGGCGCGGAAGCCTGCGTCGGTCTGGACAACACCACGCCAGCCAACTTGAAGAATGGGCACCAAAGATGGGCTAAAATTCAGGATGCACTTCCGAGCCATGGAATCGGCCTGCTCATCGACGCGCTTGGCATCCCAGAAGTTTTTCTCTTTACTCTCGTCATCGGGACGGATAACAATTGGGATTATGTCCAACTCAAGCCACAGCCGGGAACATAAAGACGGACTCATGTACTTGAGCGTTGCCGGCAACCCGGCACCAATGAACTTTGCAAAGTTTTCAAGCTCATATTTCCTGATGTCGGAAATGATGTGTTCGGCAATAAGGTCATCACCCGTACGAAGAGCATCGTCCAGTTCAATGCGTCTGACGGAAAAGTCGACTAGGTAAACAGTGTCATGGATGGCAAGGGCTACCACGGCAGTATGGTCGTCTGCAAAAACAGCAGATATTCCGATGTACAGGGTCTGGTTCAATGTTAGCACTTTCCCATCAAAAACAAGCGACGATGGCGACAGAAATTAGAACGTGAATGTCTTACTGTCAATGCTGGACCAAAGAAGCCTTCCTTCTCGGCCACTGTGCTCATCCGCCTCTTCCGGTGCACGGAAGTGCCCGTGGAAAATTTGCGGATGTTTTTTGAGTTCGGCATTGCAATGATAGAAAACGGTATCTCGTAATCTTCTCTTGTTGTACCTCAAATGGCGAAGTTGCTGGTAAAGGAGACGCACTCTGGAATCAAACAGTCCGCAAGCAGGTATGTGGGGAGGAGAAACAAAAAGTGTCTTACGCAGAACGCAATTGTGAGCTGTCTGATGAAAGAATCGAGGGAAGTCTGAGAGACGGGTAAAAAAAAAGTAGGAAAGGATGTTTTGGCCTCCAATATATATGTATTTGATGAGGATGTGGAAGGTACGAGGGGTCGATTTGGTCAGGCGAGGCAGGTGCAAGGGACGAGCGCTGTATCTTGCAAGGCACTTCGTGTTTGAGTGCGAGTGGAAGTTGGCTAGCTAGACGTGCTGGGTTGGGGTTTCGTCACTCTGCCCGTATTTCGGACAGAAACATTTCGAGGCACAAGACCGCAACGCAACAGGGCGCAGAGCATACGCATGCTCCAACATGTTTCTTACATGCCTGCAAAGCAGAACCCCCCCACTCTAGTGCACACCACATTGCACACCATTGAAGAGGGAAATCGGGGGGTGGTGTCTCGTGCTGCGTTTGCTGTATTCCACAGGCGGAGGGATATGATTCCCAGATTCACGGCGCAAGGCAGTCTTCCCACGCGGCATCAGCAACTCACCGACAAATGCGTGGCATGATATCCCACACGGTACGTGGCAGTTCACCCGCGCTGTCTCGCCCACAACTTCCGTGTCGTCCCAGCTTCAGCCCCCCTTCTCCCCCCCAATACAGCCCCCCAAGAGGACGTGGGATACCAAGGCACGAGGTTCCATGGAAAGGGGTCTTGGAAATCGTAGCTCCTAGCACATTGCCATTGCCAAGTCCATGATGCGATTCTTCGTTGGAGGGTTATGCGTTTCTAGGTAAACTCCCACGGGCTCGCGTTCACCGTGTGTCCCTTTTGTGTGTATGCATGATGATGCACACAACTAGAGGAGCCTAATCAGGGGACGGAAATGCAAGGTGTAACACCCGAAGGCTTGAATCTGCATTCTCTTCCGATGCTCGTATTAATACTAGTTGTACGAGTTGCGTTTTAGTTAGTGAGCTTTTTAAGCAAAACGCAGCGTGGGGCAGCGCTAAAACCCCTCTATCATGGAATTTCCGGCGGTCTGGACCCTGTAAGATACAAGTAAGATACTCGCACAAGTATCTTACATGTTAGCTGGCTGTCACGTCACACCACTTCAATGAATAACCTGACAACATACCAAGGTCTGCCCAACCCCCTTTTTCTCCTGCTTTTCCGGCAACTAGAGCTGGGAGGCAACGTCGGGCAACCCTTCCTTCATGTTAATCTACTAGTACCAAAACTAAGGGAAGCCGTGGCCCTGATCTCTACATGGTATCTACTTCAATTCTATGGCGCGTGGTTTTTTTTCTAGAACTGACACTACGTGACTTGCCTTGTTGCGCAAAATATATTCAGTTAGTCTGGAGCTCATCCAACGAAGGCAATAGACCGACTATTCGTCTGATGGCAGACTGTCTAAAATGCGCAGCGTTGTATGGAGATTTTGCTCGTTGGGAGTCGGCATATTAACGGACTGCGTTTCCTACATGCCTTGACAATTCAAGTTGCATCAGCTGCCGATACCTGCTGTCCTGCAAAACATCAAGCCGGCGGGTAGACTGCTTCTAAATTTGTCCCGTGTCTGTATTAAAATTAAGATAACACTTAAAACTAGAACTGTAGCAGTGTCTGTTGGTTTGCTTTTTCTTTAAACGAGCAAGATACAACTTTCTATTGGGACTCGTCAGTGGACCACACGAGAGTTCTCCGTAAATCTTGTATCTTACTCTGTACGGAGTACGGAGTAGAAGAGTTGTTTACGGTGGCGGCCCCCGGCTTCTGCGGTATTTGATATGATTGGCTAGCCGCGGAAGTTGAGTACAATTCTCACGGAGCGTTACTCCGTACTTCGCGGGAGGGTATACCGACCCGTAACAAAGATTAAGCAGTGAACGAAGAGGAAGAAGAGTAGATGATGGAGATGATGGAGTTGGCCAGCGACTGGTCCCCCACATATCAAAGAAGAGGATATAGAAGACTAGGAAGAGTGGTGCTGGTTCTGGAATCCTACGATCTCGCAAGTCAGGCTGATCAGGTGGAGAAGGAACACGTCCTACGACAAGCTAAAACAACACAAAGTCAAGCAGGCTTGGAGTCTGCAGGAATTCCTCCAATGCTAGCCAGGACGATGCTGCCTCTTTTTTTGTTGGATTATTCTGGGCACTACTCTAGACTACAACCACATATTGGCTCGGCGGGGTTCATCTCCTCGTCATCAGCATCAACCTGACCAGCCTAGAGACTTCTCATCCGAACTACAGACTGAAACCCGCACAGGAAGCTGGCCATCCTACTGCGGGGCGTTTTCTTGTGATGCGGGAGCTTCAAGTTATGAATTATCGGGTTGTGCCGAATCTTTCGTGTACTTCTACTGACAGCGCTTCCAATCTTATAGAGTTTAGATCGTAATTACGGAGCATGATCTGTCGATGCGTATCTGTGAACTGCTTATCCGTAGACTTGATTGAAGAGTCAAAAGCAAAATCATTGGCCAGTTGATATCGTCCCCGCCTCCTCCTTACATAGTAAATTCAGGCTGTGATTTGCAACAGCCCAAGAGTAATAAAGGGTAGCCATATTCGTGAGAAGCGATCATGGGACGGGATTTTTGTGCGACGCCAATTTCACAAGATGGGCAGGAGTTCGGCCTTCACGATAACGACAAATATTAGACCGATCGTGTCGCTGTGCTAAATGATGATCTCGAGAAAAACATACTCGTACGTGGGAAGTATGGATATCATTTCCAGATGAGCCTTGCATTATTGCCATGCCTCTATGGGGCGATAAAGAAGACCACTTCAGCCCAGAATGCACGGCTGGCCCAGGTTTTTAGAAGACTAGATGCCGGAAAGGGGGCTGTGATTCATGTGACCCATCTCTTGATGAAGTGTTGAGTACTCCGTACTCTGTACTCGTACTAGGATCCCCAGCAAATGCTACTGTCTACTCCGTACTCCGTACGTGATCGTCTTACCACTTCTAGCAGGGGTATAAGTGGGGGTGTCCGGGGTACCAGAGTTGGACGGGATCATAGATGAACAGCAGATGCGTACATAGTAGAGGACAATTGCCCCAAATGTATTCAATTGTCAGCAACTGTGCGTGTGCCGAGTAGCCCGGCATTTAGATTGCCGATAAAAAACCCTGGCCATGCCGACCCAACTGGCTTAGCCTAAAATATCATCCACCACTCGGTTTCCGCTCGCCGAACATATCTTAAATCGAGCTTATGCCTTCTCGAATCGTTTGGCTACTGTTTTCCAGTTGATCACATTCCAAATTGCTGAGAAGTATTCAGCTTTGCGGTTTTCGTACTGAAGGTAGTAGGCATGCTCCCACGCGTCAATGCCTAGCAGCGGGACGAGCGTTCCCGACACCGGGTCCTGGTTTGCACGAGTAACCAGAGTTAACGTGTTCGAGGCCTTGTCCTTAGCGAGCCAAGCCCAGCCGCTGCCCTGAATACCGGCGAGGGCAGCGTTAAAGTCCTTGACGAGGACCTCTGTAGAACCGAAGTCTTTTTCGATTGCAAACTAGGCAAGTAGGGGATGCTGTCAGCAGGCCACCGCGATATGATGTAAGCGATATGATATGTAGAGTGCACCTTAAGCTTTCCATCTGGGCTTCCGCCGCCATCACGGCTGGCAGGCGCCAAGTTCTCCCAGAAAAGAGTGTGGTTGATGTGGCCGCCGCCGTGAAAATTGAGGAGGGGTGCCACTTGGGCTGCCTTATGGAAGTCGCCCTTGGCCTCAGCTTCGTCAATAGTTGCGAGCGCAGAGTTCAGGCCATTGACATAGGTTTGGTGGTGCTTGCTATGGTGAAGCTCCATAATCTTGCCCGAAATGTACGGCTCGAGAGCACCATAGTCGTCTAATTTGAACGGAAAAAGTGCAGGTCAGTCGGTTGCTGCAAACACGGTCAAGCAATAGTAGATAATGGCCTAGGGCTTTTTTTTTCTTACACGAAAGATCCGGGAGAGTGGCCTTCGTGCGGACAAAAGTGGTGCTCATGGTAGCAGTAGCAGAAGGCCGAACACGCATGGCGCCCCGGAGGACAGAAGAACGAAGTAGCGACGTCATTTGAGCTGCAGTGTGAAATTGGAAGCAGATTTTCTCGGAAAATTGAAGAGTCGAGCGCCGGTAGGAGCAAGTTTGGGACGTTAAGTATTATGAGAAAAGCGAGGCCAGGGAAATGAAGTTCTTAGAAGAGCTCGGCACTAGAATCGTAATCCTAGCGGAGGTAACGGCTGGCTGCTCATTCGCCGAGTTCCGACCGTGGGGTGAATGGGATATTATATAAGCTGAACGATGTCGTCATGGCGATCAAAAGCTTTGAAAGATGTGGCTTGTCTGTGGCGCCAACCCCGCCAAGGCACGTCGCGTCGCGATTTCATGAATACTAACTAACCCGTACGGAGTACGTCAGGAACACTGCGATTCTTGCAAGATTTCCGTGGCCCACACCCAACGGTTAAAACAGGAAGTATGTCGTATTATGACATAGATGCCATTCTAACGGATGCAGAGGTATGGCACAATCTTTCTTGGCCCCACCTCCAGCGGTTCTTGCTTCCAACTAAAGTGATCGGACAGAAAATACCATGCGAGTTTCAAATTGACGTCCCTGGCCTTGGTTACTTAGACCAGACCCCATCACACTCCCTCCGAAGAGGCACCCGTCTTGGCCTCCCGCTGTGGCTTGCCGAAATGCTAGCTTTAGCCCATAGTGCATCTGACGACAATCCACCCTTCCTTACCCTCAATCTTCCACCTGCTCTGACCAACGACGTTGTCCAGGCTCTAAAGGCCGACCCTCGTTCGGTCCCCCTCCGCGACCAGTCCGCCCATTTCTACAGCCTAGCTACACGCATACTCGACCTTTTCGAAGAGCGAGACCTAGCCGTCGTCCTGCGCACTGCTTTTGTCGGACGATCCGCAGAGATCGGCTTGCACGCTCGCAAAGTCGGGTATGGTTCAGCAGGCGGGGGTAGCGGGAGCGGCAGCAATACGTCGAACGGCGATAAGAAGGATGACACGAACAGTAGCAACCTAGGAATTGGATCCACCGGGCAAGAGTTTCTTCGAGGCCTCGATGAGTGGGAGCGGCAGCTCTTCCGACACGCACATGATGGGGCAAAGTCCGGGCGGGAATTTTTAGACAGTGTCAAGCGGAACTATTGACGAGCAAAAGCTTACCAAGGACCACGAATCAAACGACATGCAGCTCATTCTGAAAACCTAGTTGATAGGCCTTCGAGGAGATAATATACCCATTAGATGCACAAGACAAACAGTGTTGTCACCGAAATACTCGTAGTGTCTGGCCGCTGCGCAAACATAACGTGATTCTGTTTCTGACCGAGCGCTATCAGAACGGCCTCAACTTGAGATACTCCTCGACGCCGGCAAATCAAGAATACAGATGAAAACCAATCCGAATTCTGAACAATCCCAATGATTAGGGCACAAACGTATGACCATAATGGGAAACATTCCTCTCATGATCTTCCTGGATCATCTTTATTAATGGTGGACAAACTCCGACCCAGACTCTTCCTCATCCACATCGTCATCATCGTCATAATTGCCGCCGTCGTCCTCATCGTCTTCATCGTCGTCCTCGTCTTCCTCTCCCTCTCCCTCTCTCTCTTCTTCTCCCGTTCCCCCCGCCTCATGTTCTTCGTCCTCGTCCTCGTCTATTTGCTCATCGGCACTGAGCCAGCCCTGAAAAGGTCTAACACTCTCTTCCATTCGCGGAGTGGATGCCAAAAGTGTGTGATAAGACAGGCCAGATAGCCATTTGTTTTCTTCGTCCGTCAGTTCTGGTCTGTCGATGACGTTAACCTCGATGTTTCGCAGAAAGTCCCGAACATACACACACTTGTGTATTGTGCAAATGACACAGTCATGCTTTTCTGTCCCCCCGCCTGTTCGTGTGCCGACAATACTCTGTTTTTTATAGTCGACGCCGTCCAACACAGGGAAGCTGCGAAACTTAACGTAGTGGCTCCGAGATCGCGACAAAAGCCAGGACACACTGTCTTTATTGTCCCAATTCACCTCACCGTCGAATGCGTCAAAGCTTATAAGTGAAATGCTATGCAGATTCGGAAAACACAGAATAAAATCCAGCCTAGGGTCAAGCCACGGACGGCTGTTGAAGGACCAGTGAGGGAGTCGAGGAACCATTTCAAAGCCAATATGGCCAATGGCCCGTGCAAAATCCGGGCATAATCCCTCGGTGCGCATGCGCACCAAATCTTCTATCACGCGTGTATTTCGTATGTCAAGAAACACGGCATCTCTGTCCGGATCGAACCGTAGTACGCCATATCGGTCAAGGATCAGAATAGATGACCAACGCCGTAAGAACTCGTACCGCGCATCACGACAGATGCGGAGCATGGCACGTCGAGACACTGTTGCAGCTCCCAAGTCCGGCATTGCCGTCAGCCGTAGGGTCGCTTTGTGCGTCATCTTCCGGTTGCTACGACTGACACGCTCGTGTCCTCGGTAGAGCCGTACCCGCAATGGGTGTGGCGGTTGCATGGAAAAGTCCCTGTATATCTGCCACACGTGCATGCGTAGTTCTGGTGGCAGCTTGTTGAACAGGGGAAAATTCGGTTTACTTGGCTCGGTTTGTGGCATTGGCATACACGGTGGACACTCAATCGTGCGAAAGGGGTTTGCAGATGGTAGTGGCTCTCGTAGATGAAGTGAGCTGCTGCCTCCCCCCGCCTGATTTTCTGGCTGCAGACCACCAACACGACGCCGTTTCGCCGTCGATCTCGTCCGCCGGTCCATCATTTGTTGTCTTTTGTTATGAAGACGAGATAATATGTTTCAGTTTCTAAGCTGACTGTCGTAAAATAGCGACTCTATCGCAAGCTCGGGAAATGTAGAAGCACCGGCGTTTCCGGTTACTAGATAAGAAGATACAACGATAGAAGGCGCTGCCAGTATGGCAAAAACGTAAAGAGCACGCGAGCGACAAAGGTGTGCGTTTCTGAGGCTACACGTCAGTTATATAGGGCCAGCTCTTGCTGTTCCGGCCTTTTGGGGAGTCTGAAGATGAGCGAGACTTATGGCGATAGATAGGTAGCTTAAGTCCTTTCAAGTTGATCAAGCGAGAAAAGCAAACGACGATAGGCTTGGCGGTGGTGGGGTAATTGCTGACGTGGGGATGGCCGCATGTGATCAGCTTACGAAGTTCGGTCTACCATGATATCAAATGCTCGCAAGTAAGCTATAAGGCAGGTATCCTCCTCCTAACAATATAAAGTATCGCAAATTCTGTAAACGGTCATGTATGCGATGTTTCTTCGCGCTTACCGAACTCTGTTCTCTTTAAAATATATAGCAAAGCTAATCGGCCTTTTAGCTAAGCAAAAATTTGGCGAGTTACTTCTTCGATTGAAGTATACAGCTCAAAACGCCCTTGAAATTTGCAAATGCAAACACTGCATTGTCCAGCATCATGGATAGGTCTATTTAATTCCCTACGCCGGCTCAAACAAACATAGTACGATACCACAAATTCGCTTAGCAATAGACTTGCGAGCCAAGCGGCCCCTCTCTGCGCGGATCTCGTCCCCCGGTAGTTCACGACGCTTTGTGTCTATATCAATTTTACTTGTGCGTAAGCAGCTACGCCATTTCTGGATGAAATCGCCGATCCAGAAAACAACTACTACTGGAATTGCCAAGTATGCCTGAAGATAGCCTTGTGCGTCGTTGTAGGGGGGCCAAATTACCACGTGAATCAGAGCTACTAGCACTAGGATGAAAACCATCAGGCCTAGACAGCAGAGACACCTATGGACAGGACAGAGACGAGAAAGATGACATCTATGAACCTGTCAAGTCCTGTTAGATCGGCGTTCTTACACACGGTGACAAATGGGGGGGCGTCGACATCGACGTATGGATTAACACCCAATAGGCGGCCGTCGTTGGAATTGACAAGCAATACGATTAACAAGAGGTCCAAGATGTAGGACAACGTGATGCGCCAGAGGACCTGCTTGATGGCTCTTGAGAGCGCTTTGTTATAGCCTCTACTGCGGCCAAGCCAACCGGTTCGGTGCCGCTAAAAGCAAAGACAGCCGTCACGAACACGCTGCAGCACCCGCGGAAGCCGTTCTTAGAAGCGCCCAGATCGTGCCATGGGCGCGTGCCCCAGTACTCGCCATAGAGTCCATCTCTAGGGCCGCCACCAAGAACCATGAGAAGACAATGATCATGAATATAATTGTAGCTAAGAGATTGATAAGTGAGGCCCAAATTTCTTCTTCGTCATAATTTACTACCAAAATGTTAATGAAAATGATGAGGCCGAGTAAAATAGTTAATCATGCTGCTTTATCAATGCCAGAAGTGCTACGATCGCAAATTGGAATGGACTTGATAGGACTCACCATGTGTTATATCGCTTTTCCCTTGAGATACAGTTAGAGCGCAGACGGATAACTCCAACAGAAGGACAATAGCCCACTGCATCTCGTCTAGCCATCATAACTATAACCCCAAAAATCAGGATAAAGATCTGGGCCCAGTCTGAACAACTTATACTTGTACTGAGAGCAGTTCCAGAGCCGACGAAGAAGCCAGTACCAATAGATCCGCCTGTTGCAATCATGTTTAGGTGCCGCTGTTTCATGATTCTTTCAAATTCGACGCCATGGGCGCCTTGATATCAATTCTGAAATATCTTAGGCTAATCCCGCTGGGGATGTGCCAGTCTTCTTCCTCCACGATGGCAACTAATCTCATGATTCGTATGTTATTATTGGTCCAGTCTCTCACAATAACTTGGAGATGTAGATGACAACATGTTCATGTAAGCCGAAAAACAAACTACGAAATAACATATGATGACGATACGGAGTAAATAGTGAAAAATTTCAGTATGGACACTAAACAACGGGGGTTTCAAAATACAAACAAAACCAGCTTCTTCAACACATGTACGGAGAACAATCCAAGCATCCGAGATATCACATGACGAAGAGAAGATTGACATCTGAGCGCTTGTTAGTAAGAACAGCCACGACCAAATAAGAATGAAATAAAGCCCAGAGAAATCAATGGCGACGTACCTAAAGGATGACTGCAGGATAGCTGGGGCTTCTGGGTGTACTTGGTCTGTAACACTTCGCGAATACTGTTAAGCAACTGCACGTAGCTCTGCTGCGGATTCTGCTGCAGGGCGGAGATAAAGGCCCAAGACATGGCACCAGTAGCTTTCGATGCGATGGTGGCGTCGGCGCTGGTTTGATCGTCCTTGCTGCCGGACCACATTATGACATCGGCGGGCGACGTGCGGGTTTGGACAGTGCGCTTGTACGCGTCGTCACCGCGGTAGGCAGATTTGGCAAAGCCTAGGATACTGGATGCAACCCCTGACATATTTCCTTGAGCATAGGCAGAAATGACCCCTAGAAGGCCCTTACCAGCCTCCTCGGCCAGGTTGGGTTCCTTGAGCGCGCCCTTAGTGGAGTAGATGTAGGGGAGGTCCATGACGGAACCGGAGTGACACGAGTCGAAGATGGCTGTCAGGCGCACACCGGCCTGCAGAGGCTTTACGACGTAGTGGTGAATCTCATCGTCGACAATGTGACCGGCCTGTTTGAAGTCGACAGGGTAGATGACCTCGTCAAAGCCGTCGTCTTCATCGCCGTCGAGGTCCTCGGTCTGGCCTCCATGACCAGAGTAGTGCAGGAAAAGCGCGTCGTTGGGTTGGGCGCCGTCGACGAGCCACTGCATGGCGCGGATCATGTTGGCCTTTGTGGGTATCAGGACAGGGTCGCTTTGGTCGTCAGTCAGAATAACCATATCCTGGCGCTTGTAATGGTAGTGCTGCATAAGGAAATTAGACACATTCTTAGTGTCGTTGATGCAGCCGTTCAAGGCGTTGTCAGAGCCAATGTAGTTTATGCCAATAAGCAGGGCTTTGCGGCGACCTGTGCAATTACTGTACTGGAAGGTGTACTCCGAAGGGGCGCCATGGCCGAACTGCTGTTCGCCAGACGGCGGAGCTTGCGCACCACGGGTTTGATGGCTGTAGCCTTGCTGTTGCTGCTGTCCGTATCCTTGCTGGCCACCATAAGCCTGCTGGCCACCGTAGCCCGGTTGGCCACCGTAGCCCGGTTGGCCACCGTAACCCGGCTGACTACCGTAGCCCGGCTGACCGCCGTGGCCTTGCTGCTGGGGATAACCGTATCCATCATAGCCCGGTGGTGGCGGGCCGTGTGGCGGCGGGAATGCATTCGGAGGAGGTCCGCCGTAGGAACCTTGCTGATAGCCACCGCCTTGCTGGTAGCCGCCGTTCCACATCGGGATGTCCGGAAAGATGTTCAGGTAAAAATGTGTTGGAAGGGAGGGAAGGTGTCGGGCTGTTCGGTGACAACGGTCAAGGGCGGTAGTGCGGTTTTTGAAAGACAGGTGGACGCTCGCAGGAAATGTTGCACCAATTGGCAACGATGCGGAGGAGAGGCAGGTAAAGGCGAAGCCAGACACTGTTTACGTTTTTGCGAGTGTGAAGAACGGAATGGATCAGAGTCAGCTGAAGTACGATCATAGCTCCGGGCCTTTTGGCGCAACGATTCAGCTAGGCCCTTGGCGTGCACGGATCATATAGAATGGAGGGACCTGGCGTACTCCGTACGGCCATAAGCAACCAAGCAGGCGCCAAATTGTTTTGTTGCTGGCGGGGTCACTATGGGTTTCCACTGTGCGATGCTATAGTACTCTGCATCCCAGGCGTCGTCATGACACCATCCCGCCGCGGTGATGAGGACTACTCAGATAGGCCGGGAGAAAAAGCGCACATAGCTTCCTGCTGAGTCCGTCTGTCAGTCAAAAAACAAAAAGCAGCAGCACAAACCTCTTTCCAGCTGCTCCGCGCCTACTCGTAAATCACCGACGCCACTAATAGAAGGATGACGACGACTAATGGCTGATGATATGCGTGATGTATCTAGCTAGAAAGGAGTACATGGCGCGCCTTCACTGATGCTGGAATTTCACTGGGGCTGTTCCCCACTTTTACCTATTATGACCAATGAGAGTCCGCTTTGCTAACATTAGTCAGAACGTTCACAGTGCGCTCCATTCTAGAGCTTTACAAAAAGCTAAGCCGACTAATATAGGTCTTATTTACTTAATAATCATTATAGAAGTTTTTGCCTTACGCTTGTTAATGTACTCTGTTAGAGGTAGTACAAGCAATAAAAAAAGTCGGCATAATTTTTCTGCTAGGTAGGGAAAAAACCCGCCGGCACGGAAAAATACAAGTACTATAGAAAAAGAAAGTAAACAAACAATTTACTACGTTTGCACTTAGTGTGCATTTTAAGCTGAAAATCTCTAATATACATAAAATTAAGTTTGTATTTTAAATCTAAATATTATTTATAATGCACATATTTAGTTAGGTACGTCTTAGCTACACCGCCTTTGCAGCAGTTGTACCACCCTTTAGAATAGTACAAGATGTAGAAGACGAGCCTAAGGCAGTAATTTTTGTAGCAGGAATTACTAATTGAAAAGACCCACAAATAGACCCACAATGGTCGACTCAGCTTTTGTGGGAATGGTCGGGTTATATGTAGACACTTAGGGCACGTGGGCACTAACCACAGAGCCCGTCCTAGAGCCGCCGCGACAGCTACCGGAAACAGGCGTATCTATTATATTAACGACCTATCTGCGGGGCACGCCCCTGTCGCCAAATTACGCTATTGGGCAAAGATCTACACAAAATTTATACCTATTCCGGTAATTTACAGGTACCCGCTAGGCAACTTATAGTAGTTATTAGGTTAAACACCTCCTCTCTACCTATTTCCCCTTAATATAGTGCTAGCGTAGAAAATTTATGCTCTTTTAACTAGCTGTACGTTTTTTAGCGTATGCGCTAGAGTAAGCTATGCTATATTAGTGTAAGGGTTAGTATGCAATATATAATTTTAAAGGCTTTAAACGTGTTTGTACTTATGTATTAAGACTTTAACTTAACAAACTATAGTAGACTAGTAGGCGACGGCCTACCAGCTAATTTATACGTAACTAGAAGATGCGGTATAGCGCAACCTTAGTAGGGCGTAGCACAGCTAAGTGGCTATGCTAGTCCTATGCAACGTATTAAGATAGTTTGTTAAGTCCGCCGCTTAGTAAGCGACAGGTTGCTAAACCGGTGCATAGGGACGCGTGTGTAGAATACTCTTATACTATCCCCCTCCTTCTTAGGTAACGCCCTTATTAGCCTAGAGGTGTATACGCGGCAGCTACTTGCTTGTTAAAAAACCTTTTTGTATAGAGTTAGGAAAAAGAGTTAAGTGCTCTAGGTTATTAACGGTTGCTAAGCGGTTGCAGACTGCTTGCTTATGCGACTATATTTAGGTATATAGAAGCGCATACGTACTGCTTAGTTTATAGCGGTAGTAAACGCTAGATCCTGCCTAATGCAAGGGTTATCTTATGTGTAGAAGCTTTTTAAGAGGTGTATAGCTTAGATCTTAGTTAGAGAACGCTTAGGTAGCCGCCGATAAGTGTTATAAAGGAGCTAGCCTTAGATACTAAGTGTATAAAGCTATAGTATATGCTAATTAAAAATAATAGCGTAAAGCTTAAGACTCTTAATTACTAGTAAGGTAAGATAAAGGTATTAGCGGCTATTTATTACTTGCTAATTATAGAACTATTGCTAACTAGATAGTAAAGGTAGTTTACTACTAAGACATTCTTTTATTTAATTTTAAATGTTTTTTACCTTATTATTAAAGCAAAGTTAAGTAAGTTTTTAAGATGTATTTAAATGTTTAATAATATAGCTTTTTTATTACCTTAAGGTATAAAAGAGTAAGTATATCCTATAATTTTAAGATAAATTTATTTATACTTATAAAACTACTTTTACCTTTTTAGCCTTTTTTCTTTAATCTTACTAGCGTAGTAGGTTAATATAATAATTTATAACTTTATATAATAGCTAGTTAATAAGTACTTATAAATAATGTTTAACTAAAGCTACTTTTAAGTTTTAATAAACTTTCTTATAAATATAGATTCTATAAAACACTTTTCTTAAGTATATATATTATCTTTTAAAAGTATAAGTTTTTACTAGTATAGTAGTTACTAAGTAATAGCTAACTTTAAAGTAAGCTTTATACCTAAACTATGTTTTTAAGCTTACTTAAATATCTACTATAAGTTTTTATATATAGCTTTATTAAAGAACCTAGCGCGCTATATTAGCTATATAGCTAATAATATATTATACTTACTAGTAAGTATATTAACTTATATACGCTAGTAGTTAATTACTAACTAATAGTTCCTTAATAAAATTAAAGGCTTAGCTTAATATATTTAAAAGTTTTTAGCTAGTATAAATAAGTTGCTACTTTAGTAAATAATAGTTAATAATATTATTATAATACTAAGCGATTATAAAGCAATCGCTTAAAGGTTAATAGCCTTAATAATAGTAACTAAGAAACTTAGCCGCACTTTATAAAAAGATAAGTTAAAGCCTTTAGTAACTAATTAGCGCTTTTAGCGTAAACGTTTTAAGATAGTATAATAGGCTATATTATGCCTTAGTATTCTTTACTAGTACTAGTAAAAGCTAAAGCTTACCTTAACTCTTATATAATAGTTAGCAAAGGTAGCTTAACTTATACTACTAACGTCTTTAAATATAAGTATACTATTGTAAGTACAAGCCTAAGTTACTACTACCTTTAAAATAATAGTAAGTCTTTTTATTTTTATTATTAAGTTATTACTAACTTATTACTTAGGCTAATCCTTGTTTTATCGTACTTAGCCTAGCCTAGCGCGCTATAGCTATTTAAGCTAGCTATAGTAGCACGCTTTACTATACTATAAGAGTAAAAAGGCTGCCTAAGCGGATCTTATAGACTATAGCAGCCTTAGTTAAGCTAGCTTAGACTAACTAGGTAGTAGTCCTTCTTTAGCTACTACTTTTAGCGGCGCTTAGTAAGTAATAGTCTTATACTAAGTTGCTAACCTTAGCTAAGCGCTAGCGTAGCGCTAAGACTATTCTTAGTGCTATAGCTAGTAGTAGTAAAGTAGTTATAGCAGCTAGTAATAATAGTATAGCAGCATTTAATAAGAGTATGCTAATAAGCAGCTAGTTAGTAGCTAGTAGTAACTATATACTAGCTAGTAAAGGCTTACTTAGTAGTAAAAAGAAGGATAAGAAGGATAGTATTAAGAAGAAGAATAAAAACATAAAAAAGACGTTTATAAAAAAGGATAGTAATAAGTAGCTAGTAGCTAAGCAATAGCTTACTAATAGTATAATTTAAGTTCATAGCTTTAAAAGGCGCCTTTAAAGCTAGAATAAGTAGTTTATAGTGCGTAATTATATAGAAATAGTAAGAGTAGTTAACTAACAATTAACTTATATATAGCTAGTTATTACTTTATAGTCTTTTTATTTCTTATAAGTATGTTTTATAGTCTTTTAGTAAGACTATAACTTGTAGCTAGCGTATACTAAGTGCTTTTTTAGTTTTTAAGTATTATACTTAGCTAGCTAGCCTTTTTATTTTACTAGAAACTAAGTCTATAACCCTTTACTAAAGTAAGTAATAATATCCTTAACCTTATACTCTTTTTAGTCTTTTACTATTTTTAAGAATAAGAGCTCTTCTCTTTCTTCTACTATGGTAGTTTATAGTTTAAGGTAAGAGATGTAAAACATATTATATTAGCAAGCATACTATAAAGGTAGGGCAACGTAATATATAACTAAGCTTAGCTTCTTTATAATATAAACGCGTAAAAAGGTTAGGTTTAGCTTCTTTAAACTAACTAAGTTTAAGTGCTTTATTAACAAGCTTATAAATTTGCCTTTAATAATTTTTTTATATAAGTATTACTTATTATAACCCTTATTTTATTAGCAAATTAATTTTTCTTATAACATTTCTAGCTTCTACTTAATAGCTTATAGCTAACTAATACGCTTTTATACGCCTTTTACTATAGCCTCTATAAAAGAAAAGTTGTTTATAAAACAGAGGTGGTATATATATAACGCATAAAACAAAGAAGTTTTTATTATAGTATAGTAAGCGTTATTATATATAAATTCTATAGTACTTAATACCTACGTTTACTAGTATTATAAGCGACTATAGAACGTTTGTAAGAATCGTTCTAAGGTCTAGTTTAAGATCTTAATGCTACTATCTATCTATAAGTAGTATGCTATTAATATTATTAGCTAAACCTTTTAAAGTTATATTAGTTCCTATTAAGATTAGCTAGTAAATAAGCTATCTTTATTATTAACAATT